CTCCGGCAGAGCTGCCGCTTCGCCGGCTTCCAGCACAGATCGCCGTTGGCCGCACTGAGTGCCAACCAGCTACAGCGGACATGGTTCCATGCCTCGAGCAAGAAGGATATCCTGCCACCATTGCCCCGTGAGTACTGCGGAATATTGGGTGTTTTTGACAGGCGAGATGGAAGGAGTTGAGAAGTTCTGGCCTTGAGTTTTCAAGATATGTTTGCTAATGTATCATGGTGTCGCTATAGAGGTTGTCCACGGAACCAGTACGTCCTCGCAAGAACTACATACGATGTCATCAAGATACCAGGTTAACTAATGCTTATCTATAGCTAATGATGCTGCTCCAATTCCTCCCACCTCTCCCACCCACGGAAGCTACCATTGGACCTTTGAGAGGTGTGTACTGGGCATATAATATGTACACTTACGTACGGGGCTGTGGTGCTGGTATAACTAACGCCTTTCTATAGAGTGGTTGCGGCCTCCTTAATTCCTCTCACAATTGCTCCATTCGCCTCTGGATCGGTCAGCCCTGTCCTTGACGCTGTGCTCTGCGGTACCCTCGTCATTCACTCCCACATCGGTTTCCAGTACGTCATATACCAGTACCCATCACCATCTGTTCAAGTGATAGTTTTGAGCTAATTGTATGCAGGGCCATGATTGCCGATTACTTCCGTCCATGGCGTGTGCCCAAGACCTCTGCTTTCTTGAACTGGCTCCTCCGCGGTTTCACTCTCGCTACTGCGGTTGGCCTGTACGAATTTGAGACTAACGATGTTGGCGTAACAGAAGCTCTCAAGAGGATCTGGAAGGCGTAAATGTATATATCCTGTATTTCTGCTTGTTTTGTACCCTGATACACAATTTTTTTTCGCCCCCCCTTTCATTTTTATTTCTATTCCTTTCCATGAAGTTGTCTTCGGTCCCATGGATACCTACATATGCATATAAAGCATTCAATTTCATCAAACTTCCCCCTCTTTTGGTGCGTAAAATACAGAAGTGGGAATCATGCTATCAATATCGGACCCGTAACCCTTTAACGTGGGCGTCTAACCATCATCTGCCAATGCACCATGGTCTATTTCTGCATCCTCCTCTGCGATGGTCATTATCTTCTCGATGAGCTTGAGCGTAGCTCTCAGCGGCAGGCCGATGACATTATCGTAGCTGCCATTAATCTTCTCCACAAGTACTGATCCCAACCCTTGCATTCCATATCCTCCGGCCTTATCGGCACCTTCTCTTGTCCTCACATACATGAGCAGTAACTCGTCTGTGATCTGAGGGTCGAATCGAACGGTCGTCTCCTCCACAACCGACTCAAGCGCGTACCCCGGGGCCTGTGCACTCTCCAACGGTGCTATAGCGACAATTGCTGTGTACACTTTATGATCTCCTGCATCCCTCAGTCCCTGTAACATACTTATATGCTCTGCCTCTGAGTGTGGTTTTTCCAGAATATCCCCTGTCTCTGGATTGACAACAATGGTATCGGCGGCCAGAATCAACGCTGGCTCTCCCTTTACCTCGTTGTCTATCTCCTGCTTATACACCGCCAGACCTTTCTCTGTGGCTGTTTCGAGCACATATTCAAACGGGGTGAGGGTCTTGGGGAGGTTTTCTGCTGTATTCGAGGGGATGATTTCAAGATTGGGAAGGCCGAGGAAGGCGATTATCTGTTTACGGCGAGGAGAGGCCGAGGCGAGGATTACTCTCTTCTTTCGCAGGCTCACAAGCACCGGAAGCGAGGGCGGAAGTGGCTTCGGATGAGGCTTGGATGCAGGTTGAGAGGCTTCGTAAGACGGTGGTGGATCGGATGGTATTCCCGAAGGGTGTGTCTGTTGGCTGGACATGTTGTCTGTCTCGTCTTCGTCTTCCTGGAAGGATGGAATGATGTTGTAGACGTATGAGGTTGCACTCCTAAAGATGTTCATCTTCGAGGTGGGATGGCGGACGTTACTTCACTAAATAAATAATAATAATCGTCAATGCGGGTGTGTCCCTCGTTCTTCCCCGTCTTACACGAAGAAGAGCCGCATCGACGGGTCCCGTGAACTCTAATAGTGAAGCGAGTTTAAATACTTCACCTTCTGCACTTCACTTCCTACACTCTTCACACCAGGCGCCAGGATGGCCTCAGATTTCATTAAGGCCGGCTATTACCTGTATACCTCTGACTTGGGTCATTAATCAGATTAACACCCTTTCTTCGTTTCTTTACGCAAATTATTTTAACTACTTCGAGTAGTTATGGCTTCCCAACAACCATACCGTGAGGAAGTGCTTGACTTGCCTGGACGTTCTCCCATTCCGCCCCAACTTCACGACCACCACCAAGCATCATTCGAAGGGGTCATAAACTATGACCAACTACCGCCCCTGGCTGGAGTAGAGCGTTCTCGTGCTCAAGATGTTTTGTATCGAGTTGTTCGTCGTGTTGGTGATGAAGTTGGTATCAAGGAGGGGTACCACCGCAACTTGCTCATCCTCCATTCCTACGAGTTTTCGGCCTCAGATATATCAAAGGATATATTTCTGCGGGTTTTCTTTAATTTTATGGGTTTCGATATCGACAGTGATGCAGATATTGACACAGACGATAGCCGGCTCACAGACAAACTCAAGGGTTTCGCAGATATGCTCCTCGACCAATTTTTTATCCCATGTTTGTGCCACGCCTTTTTGATAGTAAATATATGACATTCTCTTTACTAATATCTACCTAGTGAAAGCAAATGGGAAGAGAACACCACAGCCTACGCCAGATCAAATTTCTGCCATCAAAAGCATTCAATCACCCCATGAGATCATCGGCACCGTGGAAAGAGTTTCGTATCTTAGGTCCTTGTGCCTTATCCGCGACCGTCATCGTTGTGTTGTTTCTCGAGTTTTTGACATGCAAGAGGAGCGTCGCCGACTGCGTGAACAGGGACCAGTCGTGATGGATGACGATGGAAATGTGATCAAAGTCGAAGATCCAAGGGATTTCTTGGAAGTTGCGCACATACTACCACATTCCCTTGTAAAAGTGGACAAGGACTTGCAGCTTGTAAGTTATTATAACAAAAGAAATCTTCATTGCGGGTATACTAACTGTTAGGTAGAATGATGCAAGAAGGACTGCCATTAATATCTTAAATATGTTTGATTGTGATGTTGCAAGCCTCATAGAAGGGCCTTACATCGATAGTCCTCGCAATGCTATCAGTCTCACACATGCTTTCCATAACATCTTTGGAAATTTTGAGATCTATTTCGAAGCTGTTTCGGGGGAGGAAAATACCTACCGTATCGAAAGTATCGACACTCCAGGTTATGCTGAACGACTAGGACTACCTGTGACACGGAAACTGTTTCTTAGCGATGGGAAAACGATCGACCCCCCATCTCCTCGATTACTCGCTCTACACCGGGCAATAGCTAAAATTCTGAGTCTCTCGGGCGCGGGGGAGTACATCGACAAGCTGTTTCGGGACCTTGAAGAAACGGGCGTGCAGGAGGATGGATCAACAGATCTAGGACGTCTTATTACATTTAGACTCGGTGGCGGGCAGGATTATATCGTTCAAGCGTACTAGCAGCTTCTGATGCAAATAGGCTTTGCTGCAGTCCCAGGGCGTCTCTAAGTTGGTTGCAAAGCCTGAAAACGCAATGCTCAAGTATTGATGTTCAATCTAGAATATTAACCTCTCATTTCATGTTTATATTCTGATTTACTTGTTAAACACAGGCAAAAAATGAGAGCCTAAAAGCCACTGATTTGACACTGACTTGATGGGTATCACCGCTCAATACATCCATCCAAACCCCCATCCCCCCCCCAACCTGAAAGCCCCAAGAAAACGCCGCCTGCCCATCCATACTGCAATGTGTGTAGAAAATTGTTAAACAGCAAAATCATCTAATGGCCTCCGTAAAATTGCGCAGCCTGTCATCGACTTTTCCTCCCCGCTGCTCGATCTCTTCAATCAAATCCTTTCGCTCCTGGACCTTGAGTTGCATGAAATCAACAGTTTTGCGCAAAACCATGCCCTCGCTACGGCCTTGACCAGTCAGACCCGGCACAAGTTCGGTTAATCGGTCGAACCCTTCACGTATGGCTGCCCGGCGCTTTTGCTCAGAGGCAATATGATTGTTCTTCTTCTCCTGCTCAGAAAGACGAGGTTTCTCTCTCTCGGACGTAGCAGGCCGGGCATCGGAGGGCGAGTTGGACGTTCTCTTCATCTGCTGCTCTGTGTCTTCGCCGGGGGTTGAGCTAGGCTTTCGAGCGGCGGCAGCTCCTGTTGGCGAAGTTGCAGGAGCCATGACGATGGGTAGGAGCGGGTAGGAGGAGGTAAGCTGGTAACCCGCTGGCGAGCAACAAACAAATAACACGGAGCACAAAGCGCAAACGGCCCTTTTATGGCTTCTGCTTGGTTGGCCGTCTCTCTTGGGCACTCGTCCTGTCCTTCATGCGACCTTGATCTTGCTATTATTTCTTTGCTGTTCAGATGACATTGACTGGAAGTTGAAAAAAGGAGCTGCGGAGCGCGGAGGAGAAATCCGATAACGGGAATATCTCCGCATGTGAAAATATGACTAAGCAATTACGTCATTAATTACATAAGGCATCACCTAACTCATGCATGATTACCTAATCTATAACATCATACTTAGATGAAAGTTGGACTTGAAGGGAAAAACAACCTCCAGGAAGAAGAAGAGGAAGAGAAGACGATGAAGAACAGGAGCAGAGCAGCGCTTTGTCTCGCGATGCGATTATCTCCCGCTCGTTTTGAATTGAGTCTTTAGGAATTACGTCTCTACTTGAATCTTTCTGATTGATACCATGAGCCAGACACTTCGAGGCGGTTGTTCTTGTGGGCGAAACAAATGTTTCATCAACATCCCACTTGATGCCAGTGACCAGGCCGAGGTCTACTTCGACTCGAGCAGTGTGAATCGTGAGTACTCTACCGCGCATAGCTCAATGATGCGTTCGTCATATGCTCTGATTGCTGATGTCGTCGTCTATAGGTCGGACGCAGGCCGCTCCGTTGACAGCATGGCTCCGAGTGCCCCTTGAGTGGTATCAATCTTCAACTGTGTCCTTCTTCCCTGATGAGACTCATTCTGCTATTCGACGCACTTTTATTCCTCCGGATGATCCGCATTGTCGGCGTGTCTTCTGTGGCTTTTGCGGTACACCATTGACTTACTGGACCGAGAGTCCTCCCGAGGAAGCTGATTACATGTCGATTACTGTGGGCAGCCTCTTCGGCCAGGACCAAAGCGCCCTTGAGGACCTGGGGCTACTTCCGGAAGACGTCGATGCTGGAACACAGCTTGCTCCGGTTACGTCTAGTAGAAGTGTTACTCCCGCGGCTTCCTCGTCGAGGCAAGTCGCCTCCGCGGAACCACAGGTGTTTGTTACCCGCCAAAGCGGTACTCTGGGAGGAATTCCTTGGTTTGAGGAAATGATTGAAGGAAGCCGACTGGGGAGAGTAGGGAAACACCGCAGGGGCGTCGGAGGTAACGATACGATGCATGTCAAATGGGAGGTGACCGAGTGGCATGACACCGTCCCATCCATCTCCACAGAGGCCAGTGAAACCACCGATAGCCCAAGAATTTCCGCCAAAAGAAAATCCCCTCAGGTTCGTTTATCTTATGCTATTATTCTATATGCTAAGACTATTGGCGTGGTCTAACGAGATCCTTAGGAGTGAGCCGTCTTTCTTGATTGCATATCAAAATTGCCTCCAAAAGCAGACCCCAGAGCCTCGACTGAAGGTCGCTCAAAACTGTGGACATGCCTTGACTTTAAAATCTTTAATTCTGCTATCCGATCCCGTATTTTTCAATCCATGGCCATTGGAGTTCAGTTTTCTTCCATTTCCTACCATTGTTATGGAGTTTTCTTTCTGACATCAGATATCATCTGCTATCACCGGCATGCTGTACATCACCCATTGATTACTCTGGAGATTCTTGAAATCAGACAGAGAACTCTTGCTCAAGTTTGGATTGTTGGACCCTAATTCTCATAATATATTCCCGCGTTTGATTCTAACTATATATTGTGCTTCTGAAGAGCGCAATATTCTCGCCATCCATTGTGATTATGATAATTGTATAGTACTAAGTACTATTAGATATTGACTTGTTTTTCATATTTTGCCGGAGACCTTGATATCATTACTCTCTAAGTCTCTAGACCTGGCAAATTCCTTAGTCTCCCTTTGTCCTTTGACCGGATTTATTCACAATAGGCCTTTATTTCAATATTCTTCTCGCCCTAGAGCTACGTGACAAGTTATTCCGTTGCGTACTCGAACTCGTTCATTTATTTTCCCTCACCCACACATGTCATCTCCCACCTTTTAAACTACAACATTCATTTTCGTGGAGACTTCTGTCCTCCAGCTTATGCTCTAACTGATACCGAAATGTATTCACTCTACATCTTGTGATCTGTGTATGGCCCATACAGGACGAGCTTGCTGAGAAGGTCTACGCCTCTCATCTACTCGAGCAGACACGTTCAACATGGAGGACCAGGTAGATGGAATGGCTGTTTGCGAGCCTCCTATTACGAACGAGAGCACGGTTTCAAACAATTCAATCCAGTCCACTGACAATACACAACCAGCTTACCCTCGGTTTATGACACCCATCAGTCCGAGTCACCAGCTATTCCCCCCAAACTCAGGCCTTTCTCGAAGACCCTCGGTTGATAGGCCTAAACAACCACGCCCGGAGACACCTACGAGGTCCCTGCCTGTTAGCTCTAACAGACCACGTCAGAAGACTTGGGCATCAGTCGCGTCAAAGGGAGTGGATGCCTTTCGTTCCACATCAGCAAAGTCAACGAACTATAGCAAAAGGACTCCTTACAAAAACGGTCAATCCCCAGGTGTTGTACGTGGAAAGCAGGTTCCCAAATGAAAGCTTACATGACTGCTGACACCTGCTTGCTTAGGGTTCTTATCGATTGATTTCTGTAACTCAAACGGAGCAACAGTCTACCCCATGTCCAGATAGGAACTCCAAGGAGTGCAATTATGTATGTGAACTGCATAAACGCGTCTAATTTGCTAGAACGTCGATTCTGACCTGTTTGATTCTCCCCCTTTACTTAGAATGCTTGCATTCAAACTGTTGCTGATAAGAAGCTTGCTTCCGAAAAGCCATTGCCCTACCCACCCGGGCCTATTTCAGGGGTTGATTCAACATGTAATTTGGATATTCATACCTCTGTCGAAACAAGCAAAGACCAATCGCAACACCCGCCTTCTTGTTCTCCTTCTGACAAGGAATGGGCGACAACTGCCTCAGAACAAGCTGAAGACAGCAAGGAAGATACCACGAGCGATGCCCAGCCGAATGGCAATGATGAGATTAAGTTGACACGGATTGAAGAAGAAAACGCACACACTCCAATCCCTGATGGGGTTCGTATGTTTGCGGATGCTTTATCCAAACTTACAAAGGCCACAGCTTGCATGGAGGTTGGAAAAGAAGGTGAAGGACAGAAAAGCGAGGTGCAAGAAGATTACCCGTCTGAGAGTAGTGCGGCAGAGGCTGCTAGTCCTGGCTCTACGAAATGGTGCACATCTGCTCTCAGTCAATCTTCAACAGAGAGTCCGTTTTCTCCACCTAGAAAGCCTCAAAACTTGAAGATTGTTACCGATTTCTACCGAAATCCAGTACAGACGGAACGATCCTTTGCTTACCATGGCACAGGGGTATCTCCTGGCTATTATTCTCGGGTTCCTAAGTCTAACCCATTTAGAGACCGTCCTAGGGTTGCATCTTCACCTGGCAGTATGAATCATTTACTGACGAGAGATAATAGGGCGTCCTCTTGCTCATTTAAACATTCTCCTTCGCCTATTAGGACACCTGGTGCCATGACTCCCAAACAAAAGCCAATGGGGACGCCTACTCCATCAAACCCCTATTATCCAGCCTCACTAACTACTACGCCTCGAACGGATAAAAGCGGTTCTAAAATTCCTCGAATGTCGCCGCGGAATTTATTCCCTGAGAGTGATTCGGGGGCTGGTCATAGCTCGAAAACAACTGTCTTCTCTCCTTCAAAGAGAAGCTCAATCCCACTCCCTACTCGTATGCTCCAGCAGAATAGGGAGGATAACGGCCCTGAAAACGTACCTGAAGGTACCACCCCATCTGCTATTTTTGATAGAGTAGAGAAAATCACCACCAATGGGGCTGTAGCACAGGAAAATCCTTCTGGAATGGACAAGGGCAATATCCATTCTAGCATGAATCTGCGACACGAATCCCAGGGTGAAATGAACAGTAAAACCGAGGGAATGGAGGAAAATGCCGACCCATTCTCGGATGATATCACTGTGAAGCAGCTTTCGAAGTCTGCCCCATGCCATGGCCCGCAACTTCGTATTTCATCAGAGGCTGAGCGTCTCATAATGGGTGAAGATGATATCAAGGTGTTGGAGAAGAATATGAAAGAGAGTCGTGGTCCTAGTCGTGGACCTAGTCGTCAATCCGGACACAAGAGGGAATTTAGACTCTCCACTGATAGCCTCTTTGCGACCTTTTCCTCAAAGCGTTCCAAGAGCTCATCTTATAGGCTGTCCTTCAGTGGTAAACCTCCAGCGGAGGAAGGCAGTCCTACACCTGCTGGAGGACCAGCCGGAAAATCAATCTCAAAAGCAAAGAGCGCTGAATTTGGAATTCGCCGAGCATCCTCTGGCCATCGCTCGATGAGACGAAAATCTTCCCCTGAAAAGGAGCTACCTCACCCAGCTTCGGGAAAGCTTGATGCTGACCCGTTCCTAGACACAGAAGGTAAAGACTTGAATTCCAAGCAATCTGCATCGATAGATAGGGAACCAGTTGCAGAGCTTGGAAAACCTAACGAAGCGCCTTGCAGCTCCCCAGTTATTGAATCTGCCAAAAAGAGCTCTATTCCCGTGGCTGTGACAGACAATTCCCCATCTCCATCCAAGTCCGCTGGCCCAGTAGAGCGCACTAGGAAGTCCCAGAATGAAGCATCTAAGGTGAATTCTCCTAGAAGCCCTCGGCATAATAGCAAAGTTGGTGTTACGTATGGCTCCCCTAGAAGATACCCACACCGACCGTCTACCGATAGAGCCCACTATAGGCCTAGACCAAACAATGATATCCACATCGGACCAGATCAGCCTTCGTCACACAATGCAGATAGCCAGGGACAGAAAGATAAGCGTCATAAGAAGCGTCATCACCGCTCTGCTGATCCTATCACCACCGCTCCGGAACCAATCAAAGGCAAAGGATCATCTTCCAAAGGAGTATTCTCCAATTTCCGTGGATTGTTTTCAAAGAATAAATCTGAGGCACCAAAAGAAATCATGCGCCCTTTGATTTCTTATGCGAAGCCAACAGTTACGAGTAACTTCAAACTATCTGTGCCAGCGTCTCAATCTGTTCCTCATCTTGGTGCTAGTGGAAGCGGAATTCCAAGTGGCATGTCAAATGGAGACATCAGTTACCGCCACCTTGAACCTCCACGCTCCCCTGCACTGAGAGACACTGGAAGGATTAGCACTATCACGATGGAGATTCTTGATTCAGCGCGGAATGAAGTCGATACATCACGCAAAGAGAAGCTCATTAGAGTAAGTGTCATTAAACCCTGAATGTTTCTAAATAATTGCTAACTGTAGGCGATTGTATTTTATAGCTTGGCAAGATTCTTATTGAAGCCGTGAATAATTCGCATGATGCTGAGAAGGCAATGTTGACTGCCATCCAGGCGGCAAAAGAGGCCGAAGTTGCATGCGCAATGGCAAAGGAAAATGCCATGAAAATGAGTCAGGTTGCATGCGATTGGGCCCGTCCTTTGGCTTCTGCTAAGGGCTCTAGTGCCTAAATTCGAGATGAACGAACTATGATAGTCGGAGCCTTTACAAATCGTGCATGTTTGGGCATTTGGTTTGTGATTCAACCCGGCTTCCGCGATTGATATTGTCATGGATGGCTTAAAAAATTTGTCTACCTGATGCGGTTCTTGATGCCAGATGTCTATCAATGCCTTGATTCCCTTGGGCTTTCAATATTTTAAGGTGCTATGCCTGTTATGGTATTCACCATTCGATGACCGACGGCTATTTTACCTATATTGCAGCCCATATGGGTTCAATGTTACATGAAGTGGGCCTTTACTGTCTATATTATCCACTACCTATGGGTTAATAGCACAACAAGAATTGAAAAAGTTGACGTAGCATTTTTATGTAGCCATCACTGTCTGAAACCTAACTCTAGTCATGAATTTGGCTCTATAGTTTAGCTTTCACATCGTTCCTATTTTATTAATCTAGTTAGATGATTCAACCATGGACAGAGGCAGTTCAGTGGATGGTTCATACAGATAAGCTATGCATTCAATCTCAATGTCGGTATCTAATGGTAGCTGCTTCACAGCAACGCAAGTCCGGCACTAACGTACTGTCAACAAACCAAAGATCAAAAGGTATTGGAATAACGTACTGGTTTCGGCTCATCTTTGAAATAAGACTGGTACACCTTGTTCATTTCCGCAAAGTCATCCATGGTGGAGATGAAGACGTTTGTTTTGACGACATTCTTCAAGCTGTTGCCGCCGGCTTCCAATACTGCTGAAAGGTTCCTTAGAGCTTGATGCTATAGAGGGATCAGTAGTTGACTATAGTATATTGAGGCAATGGATATTCGGACTAACCGTCCTCTCTGCAACGCCTCCAGAGACTAATTGATTTGTCTTGGGATCCATTCCAATGCTTCCAGAGCAATATATCATGCCATTGTGGACGACGGCCTGAGATAGCACCGGAAGTGGCGCCGGGGCCTTGGTTGTAAGGACAGCGGTTTTGGTAGACATCCTTAACTGGTTATAGATATAGCGATATACACTCTCTTGATGTTACCATTGACCTGGAGTAATGCTATCGACTTTATGATAAAGGAGTTGGAATGGATCTCGGCTATTTGAAATGCGGAGGCATCGGGCGTGCTGTTGATCCGGAATTACAAGGCAAATACGAGCTGGGAATTTTCAACAAAAGAATCAAGGCCAGGAGCCTAGGGAGGAATTGCAATACTGGCAATAGTGTAACAGGAAGCAGTAGACTAGATCATTCATGTTGATATTCTTTTATTTTCCTTTTAAGATCTAAATATCAATATTGGTATCACGCACTAGGATGTATCTATTAGCCCTCAATGCCGCTCCATGCTTCTTCTTCGATGGCATCACCGTCAGCCTCTTGAGCAAGCTTTCTGGCTTGACTGCCCTTGATAGCCCCTTTCTTCTTATTCTCCATCCTCCTTTCAAAACCGCTTTTAGTGCTGATACGGGTTGCGCGGCGGTTCTTATCATTGACCATTGCGGGTGTTCGTCTCCGGGCCTGGACTCCATGGCGCTTTAATTCCTTTTTGTCATTCTTTGTCAAGTCGGGAAGCGCATCAAGAAGCCATTTCTGTATACCTGGCTCGTGGCCTTCACCACCACGGAGTTTCTCACTCGCAGCAATCACATTGGCAATGTTCTTGACATACGGTATATCCTCCTTAGTGTAGAAAGTAACCGCAACACCGCCCTCTCGACCCGCTCTACCAGTCCTCCCAACTCTATGCACATAGGCAGCAGCTGAGTTGGGGATATCGTAATTGACAACTCCGTTGATTCCACGGAAATCCACACCTCGAGAAAGAAGGTCAGTGGTAATGATGATCCAGATTTCTCCTTTCCTGAACCCAGCCATAACATCGGACCGTTGAGAGTCGGAAAGCTCCGAATGTAGAACCGCGATCCGGGAAGAACCACCTGCTTCAGGTGGAATATCATACATCAGTTCAGAATGTAGAGCCACTGCTCGTGGAATAGTTTGAGTGAAAACGATAAAAGGAGGACGAAGATGTTTGCCAGCAGATGCTGTAGCAGTTGTTGGATGTAGAAGTTGTCTTAAACCTAGAAGCTTGCCTTGTTCCGTCGCAGCGTACGTGAGTTTATGGGAGATGTTTGGGATAGCAGAGTCCTTTAGACCAACAACTAGTCTGACGAGGGAGGACTCTTCTTTTAGGCCTAGAGCCTTTTGACGTTCCCCAATGGTTGCCTTGGCCAGTTCTTCGATATTAGATCCCATTGTGGCGGACCACAATCCGACACGTAGCCTAGGGTTAACGCATGATTGCCATATTTTAAGCGTTTGATCCCGGAATAGGGGGTCGAGAAGAACGTCCGCTTCATCAAGGATAAGCGACTCGACTAAAGGCATTGAGGCAAGCTCTTCATGGCCATTGTCAGAAAGTGCGTTGACTAATAACAATGGAGTTGTAACTAGGATGTCACTCTTCGTTACGGTTGCAAGAGACTTTGCTCGTTCTTTTGGCCGTTCCTCATCAGTATCGGAATTGCTTCCATCCTCACTATCATCATCTTCTTGTTTGGTATAATCTCCACCACGTTCTTCTACTACGCGCATACCCTTGCGCATAGATGTAATCTTAACCCCAGTACCCAGAGCGAGCTTTCTGCCCTCATTTGTAATTTGGCTCGCAAGCTCTTTTGTCGGCGCAACAATAACGCCTAGAATTCCTTTTGACTGCTCGCCAGATTTCTGGTGTCGGTGTTTCATTATCTTGCTGATAAGTGGGATCATAAATGCCAATGTCTTCCCGCTTCCAGTGGGAGCAACCGTAAGAAGGTCAGGCTCACATTCCAAACCTTTGCTGGCCTTTTCGTCTTTTGTCAATGCACACAACCCTCCAAGCAGCATTGGTAGACAGCCAAGCTGTACCTCTGTAGGTACAGTATACCCTTGATTGCGTATATTTTCCAACAAACGCCTTGAAATATTATACTTCGACCGTAGCAACTCAAACGAGACGAGGGGTTCGGGGTAGAGTGATTGCAATGCTTTCCGCTGTTTTTTCGTGAGAGAAGCAGTTGCAGTCTCTTTTTCTCGCTTCCGTTTCTTGGATTTCTTCGCTGTTCCGGCATCGTCGCAGTTTGTCTTTGGTGTTCGAAGGTCAGTGACTTTAATCTTATGAGACTTCAAGATAGATTTTCTATCAGCTTCAGAGAGTGAAAGTAGCTGTGCATTAGCATCATGGCGACCGTTATCTTCGTCACTGCTCTGGTCTTCCGCATCTATGTCCGTAGATATCTTCGAGGTAATTTCGGGCGCAGACGAAGCCGGGCCGCTAAAGAAATTCAGCGTCGTATCCTTAACTTCAGAGTCCTCTTCATTACCCGCCCCTCGCTTCCTCTTCTTCCCCCGATTATCATCATCGCCTCCTTTTGCATTCGGCCTAGTTGGCTTTGCAGGAAATAACTGTGGTGTGCGAGCTTCGCCGGTTGATGGCAGAGGACTGGACGCCGCTCCCTTGGCGTTAGTTGAAGATTTGATCTTTGTAGACCTTGTAAGGAGCTTGAAAGCATCCATAATCAGGAAAAAATCAACCAGAACAATTCCCCCGCGGCCTTCCTTTTCTCTTCGAGTTTCTCCGTCGAAAGTTCTACTTTTCAAAAGTAATTGATCAAAATTCATATTGCTTAGTCAACGTGTTAATGAATTAAGGTTTAATATCATATGATAACGAACCTTAAAGTTTATTCTTAAAATCTGGGATGTTTTGACTTCAATAAAAGTTCAACTTTCACCAACTTCATGATTTCTCTGTAATGCCATTTGTTGTTTGATAGCTATTATTGATAAGTATTATACGGAGTACTGTACTATATCCTGGTGATATTACAGTGGAAATTTACAAATCCTATTGGGCAGCTTGCTTATTGTGCTTCTTACACGTATCTTAGTCGCACTAGCTATCACAGCCAGGGTTCAAGATGACACAAGGATAAGATGTTTCCAGGTGGAGTGTTGAGCTTTGGAATACAATAAATACCTGTCGATTCAGCTTCTTCAGCACCATTTTTCCTATCCGCATGGGCTATCTTTTGCATTCTTTTTAGCGTTGAGTTCATACAGTTAGCATGCCACTATGGGCCAAATACTGTCGATATATAGCAGACTGAGGAATAGGAAATGGGATATTCTGGATGGTTAGTCCCCATCTCATTGCCAGTCACTTGTTCTCCTCTCTGGGGAACAGCTTTCACTGCTGTTCCTGGATTTGAATTAACCTAGCAAAAAAGAGCCCGAAGTCGCCAAAGAAAATGATCTCATGTTCCAAGGATTCGAATGGCATATTCCGACAGACCAACAACACTGGAACAGACTTCGAGAAAGCCTCCCACGGCTGAAGTCAATGGGTGTGAACAACATCTGGATACCTCCCGGTTGCAAAGGTGCTACAGGCGGTAATGGATATGACATCTATGACCTGTATGATGTAGGCGAGTTCGAACAAAAAGGCCAAACTGCAACAAAATGGGGATCAAGATCGGATCTTGAAGCTTTCGTTTCTTTAGCAAACGAGCTTGATATCGGGATATATTGGGATGCTGTCTTGAACCACAGAGCTGGAGCAGATACTAAGGAGAAATGCGTGGCTGTCGAAGTGGACCCCAAAGGTGACGAAGCTATTGTTACTTGCTCAAGACTTTACTCTAACAGTCAAATAGATAGAACTGTCAATATTTCTGAGCCAAGAGAGATAGAAGCCTGGCTGGGCTACGACTTCCCCGGCCGTGGAACCAAATACAGCGAGCTGAAGTACCATTGGTACCATTTCAGTGGAATTAATTACGACGCCCTCCAACAAAAATCTGGGATTTACAAATTAGTCGGCTCGGGGAACAAGGATTGGGCCAAGGATGTCAGCACTGAGAATGGGAATTATGATTATCTCATGTTTGCAGACGTGGACTATTCCAATACTGAGGTAACGAACGATGTTAAGCGCTGGATCGAATGGCTAGGAACCGAATTCAAGCTAAAAGGACTGAGACTTGATGCAGTCAAGCATTATTCCCGAGGGTTCTTAAAAGAGTTTATTCAGCATATCCGAACGACTGTCGGGAGAGATTGGTTTCTGGTTGCAGAATATTGGACGGGGGATATTAGCGATATGCTAAATTATCATGATCAGATGGAAGGTCTCGTGTCTTTGTTTGACGCTCCTTTAGCAGGGAGGTTCTCCCTCTTCGCCAAGGAGGGTCAAGACTTACGAAGAATATTTGACCAGACCCTCGTGCAGGTTCGCCCACAGAAAGCCGTGGTATGTCCTAAATTTCAAATATATCCGATGGCAACCTATCTAACTATTGCCAGACCTTTGTCTCGAACCATGATACGGTGAGATTCCATGTAGATCAACAAACATGACGGCACCCGCTAATATACCTTAGCAACCAGGGCAATCACTCGAAGTAAGATTCCAACAATATCGATAACCGCAATCTATTCACCCCTTGCTAACCCGTATATAGATATTGATTGATGCTTGGTTTAAACCTCTTGCATATGCGCTAATTCTCCTCCGTCAGGATGGTTACCCCTGTTTGTTTTACGGTGATCTCTACGGCATAACCAACACTGAACCCAAGTATCGGCTTCCACCCGTTGATAAGTTAGCAGCTTTAGCGACGATTCGAACTATGTATGCTTACGGGAAACAGAGGGACTATTTTGATAACAAGAAATGTATCGGTTAGTTACTCGGAGACCTTTGGTCTTACATTTTCGAGATTGAAAGCTTCAGCTTGTTACTGATGCAACTGCAGGTTTCGTTCGTTACGGCGACACGGCGCACCCATCTGGGCTGGCGTGCGTATTAAACGCCAGTACTAGCGCTGCGCCTATGTCGAAGACCATGTATGTCGGCATACGGCATGCTGGCGAGAAGTGGACGGAATTGTTCACATCTGGTGCGGTGACCACGGCACCCGTAGAAGTTGATCCTCGAGGTTATGCCGAGTTCAAAATTGGCCCAAAGAGTATCAGTGTTTGGGTTGACGAGGGGGCCGAGGGTCGAGGGCAGATTGACGTGATCGGTGAACAGTTTATTGATTGACCTTTAGAGTCCAGCACAAGCCAGGAAGGAGACTCGGCGGAAAGGCGGTTTTGCACTTCGATTGGATAACTTCCAAGCACAAAGTGGTAACTAGTTAATTCCGCATTAACTGGATAACTAATGCTCGGTCATGAATTTCCGACATATCAGACGATCGCATATTCAATAATGGAAACGTGTATCCATCGATATCATCGTTCAGAATAATATATTTGTGGACTTTATTTCCTTCAACAGGTTACCGACTCCACCTAAGCACAAAAGCAACCTGTTAACGCCAACTTCCCCCGTTCTTTAAGAATTTCTTTTTCTTTCTCTCCGAATCCCGAGCATGCAACAACCAATAATAGCCCCTGTAAGAAGCATTTTCGTTGTCTCTCTGAATAAAAGTGAGGTCTCATATATATAGAGAGAGATGTTTTAGTCTCTTGTATTTCTCATGACGCTGTCTATGATCGTGTAAGGGCCTAGATGTGTCGCCGACAATTTATGTGCCACTACGGAGTAATTATCCTGGTACTCCATACGGGAAATGCATCTGTAATCTTTGGCAAGGGTTGACGCATTGCTTCCATATCGGCGGCCATGCACTCAGGCCTTGCTCACACCATGCACCTCGTGGGTGTTGATTCAGGCGAGGTCCCGCCATGCATCAGCAGCGGAATCTTCGTGTTGCACAGCATCAGGGAGGCCTTCGTGCTGGTCCCGCTCTTGGCTCTCGGGTTAAATTAACCCCGTTCACTATCCAACGGGTTGGTTAGCATCACGGACTGGCAGGGCATAGTAGTAGTAAGTGAAGGGCTCTGGTAGATGCTAGGTAAAGCAGTTGTTCTCTAAAAGTACTGATGCTGGGTCTTTCACCGCATTAGTTATCTAACTCTGTCTATCGGTGCAATGCTTGTTCCTGTCAAAGCGTCTGCAGGCATTCGCGCTAAATCCCGGTACGATGTTTCCACGAGTCGACAGTCTCCACTCAGAGTCAAGGCCTGGAATTATTATTTTTTGAAGGATGCAGATTCGATGGTGGGGGAAAGGTCAAGTGCGTATAGTTATCCCGAGAAACTGCAGGAAAGAAGAGACTTTCAACCAAAAATGTCGGTTCTCTCCCTCGGCAAACGTTTCAGGGACCCCCGGCCCTAGGCTAAACGAGACCAACAATTCCACACTCTCATCCTCCTGAAGTTGCGGACTAGTGATTGGTTAGTCAGTTGTCAATGCTCCTTATATCTTAGACAGGAGGTCTGGAAACCCGTATAGAAAAGAAATGCATGAAAAGAAGCCGTGCTAACCGGGCTGTCCCCACGGTTATTCCGCTATGTTGTCTTCTTCACATTATATTGTGTGAATATGATGATCTCTTCCCCTGTTATGTCAAACTGATTAGAGCCTAAAGACGTAATCAAATATGATATAATGTTGTGATGCCCTTAATCGAGAATATAAAGGTTGAAACATTCCCCCAGCTCTCTCGGTTTAAACTCGGCATTTCTGTCTTGGCCTTCAAAACTGCGAAGTAGGAGAGATGGGGACAGTCGAAAAGGCTTCGGCGCAAGTTGATGGCCAGCTAAAAGAAATCGCTGTAGTTGCTAGTGAGTGACCCAGAATATCGACGGACCATGAGATGGTGCTGATGCCTCCTCAGATCCTGTAGCGGTTCCAGAAATACTTGCGGGTTCATCATTATCCGAAGTAGTCGGCAATGGCGATGAAGATGGCAAAACTATGCCTATTGGAGGCACTTACAAGTCCTCCTATAGATGTCGCCGTGTAGCCTCCAAGACAGTCCTGTCGTTCCAGGCAAAAGACCCCGAAAACCCAATAAATTGGTCAACGGTATGGATCCTGTCTTGGTGGAATCCCAGGCTGAGCTGACAGAATATAGAACAAAAAACTGTTCATTCTCTTTTCTGGAATCATGAACGTGCTAAATAGCACTCTTGGTTCTTCTTTGCCCAGCGGAGCGATACCCTATATAGCACGGGAGTTCAACATTCGATCTGCTGAACAGCTGACTCTTCCAATCTCTCTATTTTTACTCGGTTATGTCTTCGGGCCAATTGTGTGCGGCCCCCTATCGGAGTCTTATGGGCGTAAGCCGGTGGTTATAGTAGGCTTTGCAGCCTTTATGCTCTTCACGCTTGCGTGTGCCTTATCGCAAAGCTGGGCTGCTCTGCTGGCCATGCGTTTTTTTGTCGGAGTGTCAGCATCAGCGCCCATAGCCGTTGTTGGAGGAGTGTTTGCCGATGTGTATGATGAGCCCAGGACAAGAGGGAGATATATGGCCTTTTTTATGGCAGTAAGAGAAACCCCAGCGTTCATTCTAATCAAAGGCAAGGCTAACTTTTGCAGTCAACATGTGCGGGCCCAATTGTTGGTCCACCTGTCACAGGGTTCATATCAGTAGTAAACTGGAGATGGAGCTTCTGGGTAGGCTTGATATTTGCCGGGTTGACAGCCCCAATAGTTCTCTTGACGCCCGAAACATATGCTCCAGTGCTTCTGCAACAAAGAGCTCGGAAACTGCGCAAGGAAACAGGTGATGATAAAATAGTTTCGGCTCTCGATCTCGAGAAGAAAGGGATCAAAGAGACCTTGACTGTGACCCTGACAAGGCCCATTAGAATGATCATATTTGAATCAATCGTGCTTTTCACGTGTCTATATCTAGCATTGGTTTATGCCATTTTCTTCATGTATTTTCAGACATATCCGTTAATTTTTCAAAGTGAGTATCTGGACAATTGGAGTGAATGGGAAACATATGCTAACTTGTTTACCTTGGAAAGGGACATACCATATGAGCCCAGGAGTTGCAGGGCTCATGTACCTACCAAGTAAGTTGATCTCCCTTTATTATCTCAGTTCGAATTAGTCTAATCAATTGGATTAGTTGGCGCCGGAGTTGCTGCAGCCCTTGGTCTATTTTTCTGCTGGGATAGTTATCTTAACCGTTCAAAACTTCGAAACGCTCCTTGGGCAGACGTGGAAGAATACCGGAGACTTCCACTAGCTGTCGTTGGGGGACCGCTATTTGTTGTATCTCTCTTCTGGCTGGGATGGACTGCTTCACCCAATATCCACTGGTCTATCCCCATGCTCTCTGGCATCCCGTTCGGCGCGGGATTTCTCCTCATTTTTATTGCAATGATTAACTATCTTTCTGACGCATACGAGACGTTCTCAGCAAGCGCACAGTCAGCTGCGAGTTTTGCTCGAAGCATTCTTGGAACCGCCCTCCCAGTAGCAGCAGGCCGCATGTATTCATCTCTTGGTATAAGTTGGGGGTGTAGTCTGCTTGCTTTTGCCAGCTTGGCTATGACGGCGATTCCTTTCGCTTTTATTCGGTACGGAGACCGGATAAGAGCTGGAAGTCTCTTTTGCCAGCACTTGAAACAGCTTAAAGAGCAAAAATTGAGAGAAGAACTGGAAGAGGAGGCCAGTGGTCAAGCTGCTGAACCGCCGGTGCGCAATGCAGAGAAACCAGATATATTTGCGAAAGCCTGAGGATGGAATCGATATTGTCATCATGACTTGATCCCTAAATAAATAATAACTAATCCACAAAGAATTTGTTTCGCATTAGAGTAGTTTTTACCCATAATGAGAGTCTTTGAAGCTCAGTTGACTGGGCAGCAATAGGATGTTAACTCTGGGTGGGTTGCTTTTCCTCACGGTCCGGCAGAACCAATCGTATCAAGCATTGCAGATTTCTGGTCACGGCATAGCTGTAAAGCAGCTATTGATAGGCTTATAAGCAGGGTCCCTCTATCAAACAGACGCCATCAGTGGTTGTTTTGTTATGTTGACGTGGAGGATGAGGTTGGTTGAAATTGGGGTTGTTTGTGCACGTGACCATCTTGAGGCTCAAAATTGAAAAACGTTCAAGCATTGAACTTTGAAAAACATGAATTTACTGCAACCTCAGAGTTACCGTAGGTAAGAACAATAATCACAGTTAAACGTCGAAATAGCATTCAAAGGTTATATACTCGCTATAGATCACATTGCACTGATCAAAACATTAAGAGAATTAACACGCAGCGATGAGCCGTTAACTATTATGAAAAGAGATGAAAAGAAATGAAAACCACCCATCGCTCAGCCACCGTGGATTATACCCCCTCATTACAAAACTTCAATGCGAGGTCCAGTTGAACCGACGTTCCAGTCGATAATGTCATAATCGTAAACGCCAACGAACTCATACCCAATGCGCTTGTTGACGGGGCAGTCAAATTCAGGATATCCATTATAACCCTGCACCCACTGTGCAGTTCCGGAGACTAAAACATAGATTCGGCCACGGTGTTGGTCTCTGCTGAAAGGGCTCTGAATGGGCCAGGTTGGTGGGTTAATCACGCTGTATACGTCAAGCTGCTGCGAACCCTTGGATGTGTCACCGGCTGAAGTGTCGAAGCGGAGTCTGCATCGGCGACCGTTATAGCTCCCGTCAAAATCAAAGGTGACGACTGCGCTGGTTTCTTCAGCGGCTTTGCCATTCTTTACCACCAGAGGTCTTCCATAAACGTCGTGATTGGTGACACCAGTATTGATGTAATGAAGGAAGGTGTCTTTTGGGGAGACGAATTGAGTATTGCGTGCTTCGATCTCCGGGTTGTTCAAATTACCCGTCGGAGCAGCGAGGACGACAGCTGCGGCAGATACAAAGAGGGCAGTGAGCTTCATATTGGCTGGGTGATGGTGTGAGCCGAGATAATCGTGCAGAGAATTCTAAGTTTTCTTTGGAGTGAAAGGGAGATCTGATTGTTGACGATGATGAGAAGAAATACAGATTTTCTGGGGAAGATTGTCTAATTTATACCCCGATTTCTCGGCTTGCTATCCTATATGAGAATGATACACTGCCATCTCTCAGCCTAGTTGCATGGGACTAGTTGCACTCTGCACTAATTCAGAAATGGGGTTCTATTCTTGGACCTATGGTATCCAAGCTTCTGCATTACCCAGAAAAGCAATTAGATAAGACCTCTTGGATACGGAATGGAACTCGAAGCCCCGAAATGAAGCACTACAGACACTAATTTTAGGGTTACACTTCCCCGCGTGGTAGTTGAATTTCCGTAAAATGGTATCTTTTGGATCTGTGGTTCGTCCTTAAAAGTAAGACATACACTAACTCCTTCGCGTATAATTATACTAACAACCAAGCAGGAGGATATCCAGCGTGCGGTGTATCAAAATATCTGCCCGAGACGGACGTTAAGCTTCTGTGACCTTGTCCTAGCTAGCTGATGTCTGAAAAAAGTAATCATCTCAATCAATCCACTAACTGTTGTTAATAGCTGATATAAATCTTCTTCCAGCTACCGAAGCCCACGGCAGGGTAAGAGGGCGTCAACGAAACATATGCACTGCCCTCTCTTCCTAGGCGCAGTATCTAGAGAGTGCTCAGGACGTGACCCCAGCCTGTGGCCATTCGGCTCTAGTGGCCTTAAACCTTGGGCTAAATGTCTGTCTTCAACGTGCCTCTCTATTATTAGCGAACACTAAGACTTGGGCTTTCCTCGTGGAGGCTACGTTAAACTTTGATGCTGCAGCTTCGGGTAGAACTGAGTAGTGGTTGACTCGATACAACTCCAGTCGATACAACTCCAGTATTAGAGATTCAGACTGCATCTCACTGAGCAATACCGTCATCCATGCAATGACATCTGTCAAGCGATGGCTGATCCTTGCTCTCAGTAATGTCAATCCCGCTGGGATTCTAGAAAGCCTGGTCCATGGCCTTCGATTACACCGCATTGCCATGTGCTAGCTCTGGCTAGGTATGCATTGTTTTCTTTTTCCCTCTCTCCCCAGACGCCACAAAATGGATGTCTTACACCTTAATTTGGGGCTCTTCGGGGAATAGTTAAGAAGCTAGCTTGTTGGGGTGAAGAGGTCACAACTTCAAGGCTGAGGGAACTAAGTTCTATGTCAGCCTCCCCGTATCCGAAGCGATACAATAACTACCAAATAATACTCAAAGGATGTGATGTAGCTGAATCTAATACGTCCATAGGGATTAAAAGTTGGCACTAAGCATGTAGTTATAGTTAGTTAGTTCAGGGAGTTTGCAATGCGTTCAGGTGCCAAAAGAAAGTCAGAAATTCCAGCATTGTCATACAGCCCTTTCCTACAGTAAAAACAGAGAGGGCAGCATAGTGTATATCTTTTGTACTATCAGTATCATGTTTATTTGAAGAGTAAATACTAGCGAGGCTTATCGTCTGCGTATTTGGTGAACACAATTCCTCAGTTTTCAAGAAAAAGACGGGCAAAAACTGCGGTAGTGCTGAGGACATAGTGGATGGAGGAAATTCGCTTGCTCAAAGGGCTTAAAATGATGCGGAATATAGGAGAGAAAAAGAAAAAGTGAAACGCTGCCAATAACGGATTGAAAACATACAAAGTTGCAACAACTTGTCGTTGGCATAGTGCGGCGAGAGGGGTATATTGTGGAAGTACAGGTAGAAACACGAATGACAGCAAGTATTTGGGCGACATCAAGGCGTGATGAGGTCATAAACATAAACATAGAATATTCAGATCCAAAAAGAAAAGGATGGGCTATAAATAGAAATATTGATGCAAGATCGGCTATTGATCCTCCTCATCCGTGGAGGGCTCTGAGTCTGCATGGACAACCTTCTCGTGGGGACTCAAGAACGGTAGCTCGTTTCCCTTCTCCATAGCGGCAGAGGTTGGAGCAGGCGTTGACTGTGGTGGCACTGGCACAGATTCAAATGTCTCATCGCGTGTTACTTCGACCTTAGGTACTGCACCATCAGTAGAAATAGGCGCATGACCTTGAGATACTGAAGAGTGTAAAAAATCTTGTGTATCTACGGGTTGTTCTCCGTTTCCAACAGGAGGCAAGCTGGGAGAGGCAGATGAAGTTGCATAGGAAGAGGAACTTGGTATGGGTGAAGGGGATGGCTGATCCTGTTGTGTTGGGTAATCTGGCGAAGCTGGAGGAACCGGGGAGGCAGGCTCATTGGATTGTGAGGGTATCATGGTATCCTTTGGCTGTTGGTAGCCAGACACTGGAAGACCTGATTGTGTCGAAACGATTGTCTCAGCTGAAGGATTCTCATCAAGCAAGAGATCCAAGTCGGATGATGGTTTTTGCTCTTGAAATCTAGGATGCGAGGCAGAAGAATCTAATTGGGCTGATACAGTTTCCAGAGAACTGGCCTCAGAATACGATGCCGTCGGCAATCCCTGTATTACCGGCAATGAGCTTTCCACAATCTCTTCCGAGCTAACCGGTGGCTGAGACACTGCTTCTGCTTGGCTGGTAGGCATTGGCATAATTGGAGCCTGGTCTAGGGATATGGTGTCGGGCTGTGGGATGGTAACATCCGGGGAGTGTCCAAAGAGGTGGTACGGAGAAGGAGTTAGAAGGGCAAGCAGAACAAGAAAGACGGTCATTATCGGGAGCTGATTGCCTCGACACACTATTCGTATGTAATTAAAGAGTGCTTTCCAAAGGTTGACATCATCCCTAGAGTACTGTGTTGATTTTGGGGTAGACGCTATTCGCCCTCTCTCGCGAGCCGGCGATTTAGCTGTTGGTTTTGCCTGTGGTGGTTCATCCAACCCATCAATTTGCGATTGAAGACGCGCCGAAGGGATGTCACTTGCTTTGGATTCTTGGAGTGGAAAATCCTTCACCTTGGCTTCTGGCTTCACCATCTCCTGAGCCAGTTTTTGCTCCAGCTCATTCCTCAGCTTCGTCGGAAGACACAATCCAACTTCCACATCGACTTTTTCCATCTCTTTCCAAGCAGCTGACCAAGCGCCCTGTCCCATAAGCCCGTTTGCAGCGTAGACTCTGACCTCCCATTTCTTTTCAACCCCATCACGATTCTTGATGACCTTCTGGCCGCAATCCTGGCATTTGTGCCTCACACAACCGGTTTCAGTGTCGTTACTTTCATCTTCATCTTCAGTGACTTGTTCATCCTCATCGGTATCATCCTCTCCCCCAATGAAATGACCATATGCAAGTCTTGGGCGAGTCAACCCCAGGGTCTCCAGCAAACGCTCCTCAAGCAAGTCATATGCTTCCTGGGGATGAGATATAAGGATTCCTCTGTCCCGTAGAAGGCCGGTAGAGCCGATCTTCTCTTCTAGTAATTTCCATCTAGTCCAATAAGCATCAGGTAATATCTCTTTGAGCAACTCTTTGCTTGGTGGGGGTAATCCAGGGGGAAGTGAGAGAGGGAAACAAGGTGGAAGTAAGGTGCAATGAAGTAGAATAAGTGCATACTCCTTGCTCGGCTGGATTGGCTGAGGTGGACTGGCATGATATGACCGTTGATCAGACGGAGACATAGGTCTTGATCTGAACGAAACGTCTGACATCCTTGGGGATCCATGTTGACGGCCGCCCATCCGACCATTCCTTGACGGTGGAGACGAGAAATAGTTCCCATCATCCATACATCCGTCATCATAATAGTCCTCATCCCCCATCTGCATAGCCCGTACGGAGCTGGGGTGGCGAAACGGGGAGTCCAAGTCTCTTACATGCGGTGCATAGCTGTACCGCCCGTCCTTAGCTATATTTTTCTTGGAGCGAACTCTGCCACCGGAAAGGGGGCTTTCAAACATGGGATTCCTATCAGAAGCATTGGTATTGATATTTTGTCGATAATCTCCCCTTGCGAGCTGTCCACTTCCCGCTGGCTTGTTACTGGGAAAAACAACAACCGATCCTGGTAGTGACGAGATCGAAGTACGTGCTGAACGAATCCCTTTCCCACCGCCTCGCAGGTCACTGACAAAGGACTTGTCTTCATCTTCAAACTCATCGTCGTACGGGAAATCGTCTATCTCTCCTTCTCCATATTCGGTGTTTCCAGAGCTGCCTCTTGATCCTGGCTGTGATGTGGACGAAGAGCTGTATCTATATTCCTCCTTGGCTTGTGTAGGCCCACCAGTGCCATTCTCATGCGGCCCGGATCCTGTATCTATATCATCCATCGATATATCTGCTTCGCCCAGCGTTTGATTCTTGTTTTTCGGCCCTGCGGGAGCTTGTGTACAGGTGGCTTTGGCTGACCCGTTGTCCACAGGGTTGCTGTTCGCCGCGGCGTCTATCTTTATCTTGTCTTCTGTCAATTGCGGGGTGGTCATCGTCGATTGGGAGTTGTAGAATGGTTCTTCACCTCGACTTAGAAGAGTAAAGGTCTGTAAAAGCGACGTGGATGGCGGTTCCTTAGGTCCGAGGTCCCGTTATATACACTGTAAACAAAAGTTGGCAGCCGTCCTCGACACAAATAGGGGATGGATAGCTGCATACGTCAATCATCACCGGAAGGTCCTCGTAGATAAGCAATATTTTACACTGAAAACAGTTTCACAAGTACTCCGTACGGCTGGGGGGCGTCGCATATCAAATCTCGGTGAACATTTTGCTCGCGCTGATGATGTGTTCGCTGGTGGCTGGGATGTTCTTCGTTGCCAGGGACAACCACGCAAAGTTAACTTAACTGCAACAAAGTACGGAAAAGAAGATCACTGTTGATTATGCCTTATTCATAGTGCTATTGAATATGATCAATAAATATAATTACACACTATCAAGGAGAAAGTAGGAGAAAAAGGACAAAATTACGATGAGTAACCATAAGAAAAACCCGCTTATCCCTACTCGAAATGTAACCACAGGTATCTCGGCTCGCAGTGAGGAACGCTCATGAAATCATCGCTCATAAAACCAGAAAACAATATAAGATGTACAAAGAAAAGTAGCCACAGGCTAGAACAAGGTTCAAATGGCACCCCTTAGCCTTGAGGGTCGCCGAAGAAATGCAGGACATCTTCGGGGAGATACTCCAGCCACGGCATGAAACCGCCTTCAAACGAGAACGGGAAGCTCGCTTGGTTTTGAAGGTTGTTCATGTCAATATCCTGAGTTTCGATAGTGAGGTTCTGGGCGTTCAAGGGTACATTGTCGTATCCAGGTATATGTGTATTATCTAGGGCGGCCATGGGCTGATTACCAAACGGAGGCGGAGTGTGAAAGTTATACTGCGTGTTGCTGTCTTGCCGTAGCTGTGCTCCGGGCGAGACGGATTGCTGAGAGCGAGATAGAGACGTGGTCTGGCTAGTAAAACCTGGACTGCGAGTTAGGTTGAGTGTGGCGCTGGATGGGGACTGTCTGTCAGGCTGGAGGTGTGAATAAGGGGGCGAAAGCGTGTTTTGCTGGGCTGGGGACGGGAGCTGGGGGGTTCCCCTTGGCTGGCTAGAAGATTCATGGCCCTGGAAAGGCTGCAGTGATGGCTGGGTGGCGGCGATACTCGTGGGCTGTAAGTTAGATGAAGGGGAGCGTTGAAATGCAGTTTGTAGCTGAGAGGTTTCTGGGTATTGTGCCGGAATGTCTGTTGAGGTTGTTGGAAGTTGATATAAAAAGCTCAAGTTTGGCTGGGACGAGTTGGTGGCACCGGTCAATGACCAGCCTATGGCTATTCCATAGTTAGTAACCGGGAATATCATTTTCACAGTACAAATACTCACCCCGACTAGGATCAATATTGGCAGACTCCAGACTGGTAGGGGCTGCACCATGAGATGAGCCAGTTCGAGGCGACTCGCTAGTGGTTTGGGCGTTTGTCGAACTGGCCTGCGTCTTTTTCCAGGCTATAGCTAGCGATATATCAACACCAGCAGTGCTCTCCATTTCCTCTTCAGTATACAGCAAAGGATCCCATATTCCCTTGGACTTTTGGTCCAATGCCGTAAGAATGTATTTGGTGCCGGCCCAGGATTTTTCTAATGACTGCAGGGCCTTGTAGCAGCGCTGATAATTTTCCTTTGCTGCTGCAGCTAGTAGTGAGTGCTTAGGGTTGGAACTACGGTCTGGTGCTGTATTGCGGTCTGATTCAGCCTCGGGGGGTTTCGACGGCTGGTTTGAAGACGCAGGTTTAGGAGGTGGGCTTTCGGCCCGAGATGAAGGGACAGAGTAGAAGGCACTCTCCATGAGAAATGCGCATGCGGCGATGTAGATGGGCTGGCTGGTAAAGGGGTTTCCAGTGAAGCTTTTGACATCTATCAGTTCGGCAAAAGCAAGGATATCGGCGATAGTTTTGGCGGAGGATATAGACAGTTCTCGGCTGTTGGAAAACAACTGCTGTATTTTACCACTAAATGAATGCAGTAGAGTAGGCTGATGAAGCAGTACAATGAGAGTATGGAACCACTATCAAATGTCAGCTTTTATTACGGTAGAAGCATTGGTTGGGTTCTAGACTTACAAAATGTAGGAGGATGAAGTTGGTCCCCTGGCCGGCTTTGACATAGGTCTGGAAATTGATAACATTAAAATGTAGCTTGGGAGACAGCTTTTGGTATATGCCTATAACTAGTCAGTATCACATATTAATCATTGGAAAGCAGTGGTTTGAAGATTACCAGTTAGGTCACTTTCCATCCCAGCAAGCCGCCGAAGAACGTCTGGAGTGACATGCTTAACCTCCTTGATTGAGTTTAATAGATCCGTCATCCTCCCGTATAGATGTATGATTCTCATTAGTGGAGGATACGGAGATGGCCATCCATTATGAAGTATTGATTCCGAATCTAGAGGGAAATGAATCTCAATGTCGTCGTCGCGGAGAGTCACTGGCCGACCGGTCCCAGAGGATATCACTCTATCAAGGAAGAAAATACTCCAGAACAGATCGACTTTTTCCCTTTCCTTTGCTCGTTCTGCTTCGACCGACTCTGCATCCGAATTTTTGAGGTTTGTTTCGTCTGTCCACTCGGTGGAGGCAGCAGACGCAGAGGCTTCAGGATCAACCATCTGGCCGGCTATGACAGCCTTGGGAGTAAGACCAACACAGCCATATCTGAACTTCATCCCATCAAGTTTCTGGATACCTAAATCTTGCGCCATCCTGATCGATATTCCAAGATACATCCATAGACCGCTGTCATGGTTAGAACCGAATTCCTCATAGGCAAGGAGAAGACACGCCTGGACGACAGCCAAAGTTGGACAGGCTAGTGCATCCACAACGGCGCACATAGCACGATGAGCGAAGGCCTGGCCATGATGGGGGTATGGAGCTTCATTAACGGGCTCGACGGAGAGCAGAGGATGAAGAGAGAATCTGGCAGCCAAGGCACACACTGCATCCACAAGGATGGGCGCAAGCTGCTTCTCCTTCAAGCTACAAAGGAATCTATCTCGTTGGAGGAAAGGAAAGTTACAGCCTAGATGAGCGAAGAAGACCTCACACAGATGGGTTACGATTTCACTGTTGGGAAGCGGATCGTCAGGATCATAGAAGTGTATGCTGTTCGAGTTGCCAGGTCCAAGACGCGAACCTCCAGCTCCATGAGCCGCAGTTGGATCTTGAACAGACACCGTTGAATCTGATGCTCTGAGTTAGGATTAGCAGTCCTCAGTAACTAGTATCAGTATGTTGCAGCACAACACACCATTTGAGAGTGAAGGATTACTCTTGCGAGTTTCCCGGACCCGAACAACCTGAAGTATTCCGCTCGTTAGAATTATGTCTTTTTTTCTGATGTACTTGAGGGATGTATACCATCTGCTTGAATCCCGGAACGATGGCCGTCGGCCCAAAATACCTGAAGTACGGGACATGGGTTCGGTGGTTCGATATAAGGGCAGACCGTGCTATATAGTGGTATTCCATCAGCATAAACCGTCTATTTGACCATAGACTGTATTAGATATAAACTTACTGCTCTCTGGACTGCTGATAGCTGGCGCAACATCCTCCACATGTATTTCTCGCTGAGAATCTTGCGCTTGATCGGTCACGTCTGCAGTTCGTCTCTGCTCGCGATGATCCGTACTGGGAACCGGAACACTGCGCCCAAGCACCTCTGATTCTTTTGCCTTCTCCTTTGGGCCGTCAGGTTTCCCAGAAGCCTCTTTTCCCTTCACATCTGGCTGTGCAGCCGGTCGAGTGGCAGGGGCGGCTGCGGCGGCGGCGGCGGCGGCGGTGGTGGTGGAGGATGAGGATGCGGCCGGCTGAGCGCTGGCAGGGTCACTGTATCCAAGACAAGTGTGCCCATAGTCCGTACACGTCTTGCAAACTGTTGATAGAGAAGAGACTGTTCAGTAAAGGTATCCCTTGGACAGTACATCTAGACGCCGGCGATGGTAGTTCTATACCTGGCTGTTCGCCCGAGCACCGGCTCTTGCGCTTTCGACATGTCCGGCAGCTAGACAGAGAGACAAAGGCCAAACGACGGTCAGCAACAGCCCGGACAGACCAAAGGCAAAACACAGATAAAAAGGAGTACTCACGCTGCGATCACCCTGCGCCGCTTCGTCTGCGGCTGGCCATCTGACGACACGAACCTGATCGGTCTTGGGAGTGAACCGCCTGGCCGTTGAGAGGGCGGCTGGCTCATCTCCGGGTCATGGGCTGTCTGCTGCACTCCTGCGCACCTTGGAGACAGTAACCGACTGCGCAAGGCCCCGAGAGGTTGTCTATGTGTCGATAGTAGGACGAAGCGAGCATGGCCGGGGAAAGCTGGGGCGTTCTGGCGGTCGACCTGCCGGTTGGCTCGGGGCAGGGGGGAGGTTTTTTTTTTCTACGGCCAAGTCTGCGCCAAATAGTCACGATGCCAGCTTTTCTGGTCTGTGCCGGCGTTCTAGGCCGAAGCATCACTAATCTGGAGACAAAGGGGCTAGCTACCATTTCTTTTTGCTCTACTTCTTTTTCTACAGAGACGTTGAATACGAGAGTGGATAGCCTGTGGTTCATTGTGTGAAGCGTCGTCTTTTTTTTTTTTTAGCTATGGTTGGTTATATAGAGAGGCTTTTTATTTTTGCCTCACTGGTTAAGGGGTTGAAGGGGGTTAACCAAAGTAGCTCCTTCACCGGCCAGTGAACCTCGCCTTCTCGTTATACAGGGTCTCATGGCGGTGGCAGGGCAAGATGCAGAGGGTGGTGGTGTCCTGCAGCCCTAGGAAGTCGTCGGGATAAGAGGAAGTGCGGAATGCTGGAGCGAAGAGACAGGTCGATTTTTGTGCCATTCGTATGAGTGAGTATATTGTTATAACCGTTCGCGGCCAGAGAGATGGAAGACAAATCCCCACGTCTTCTCCCGCTAGATGAAGATGGAGAGCCAGTGACCTTGCAGCCCTCTGCAGATGCAAGCGGAGACTCCGGCAGGAAACAGACATCATCTCCACCAGACCCCAAACTCTCCCCGATAGCCAAGCGCGCATGGAGCCTGGTAAGCGAGGCCGTGCAGCGGCGAGACACCCTTAACGAGGTTGCCCGGGAGCGGTACCTTAGTGCAGAAGCAGCAGGCGTCGACAAGCAGCAGCTATGCCAGTATCAGGACGAGGAGTTCAGGCTGCGATTCATGTGGTCAACTCTTATCGACAGCTTTCGGATGCACTGCAATCTTGAGCCGAGTTTGAGACCATCAGAATATGAATTGGCCAGAAAAGTCGCAGAGAAGATCCTGTTGTTCCGAAAACGGTCGTTTTATAATCGATATTCCTTGATCTTTGAGCGCATAAAGGGCAGAGGGACGCTGGGATATCAGTCGATACCAGACACGTACGACAATGACCTGGCTGATTACTGGAGGGGGGCGTACATGGCCATTCTCAAGGAAAGGCAGTATCGCGAAATTCCAGCCAGATTCGCACAAATTCTGCCCTCGACTCTTTTCCAGATGGCGTGTGACCACCTAGGTATAAATCCAAAGAGATGCTTTGACGAGATCCGAGATTTTGTCCGACAGGGACGGTTTTCTTCGGATATTCTATCTCTGGTTAAAAGGAAACAGCTTGACCTTCTCTGGAGACAGATCACAGTCGATATCAGGGAATTTCCGTTCATCTTCTATCCACACGAAATCGAACATACCAAAAGGCTCATGATCGCTAACACCCTGTCCAGGATATTAAGCAGATGGTGTAGCTACACCTCTCCCATCGACTACAAGGAGACTCGCCAGTACCATGAGGACGCCAGGATGTTGAATGCCACGGATGGCATAGGAGGTATGGCAGCTAGCAAACGAGTAGCCGAAAGCATTGCCAAATCGATATCTGCTAGTGATCCCAAGGATCGACGAAAGCTTTTCGCAGACCTTTTGTCCAAAGAGCTCGTCATTGTTGAAGCTGCTTTAAACACAGCGAAGTTCGAGGCAGGTTGGATGCAGAAGAGTGCCGAGCGTTGTACGCTCCTAACTGTCGAACTGAAAATGATGCTCGACCTCATCCGCGGTGATGAGAGAGTCGAGATATCACAATTTAGCATGTACGGAGAGCAAAGCTGGCCACTGGTCGACTGCCTTGGCGGGACTCCTGCCCATTGGAAACAGGAGAGGTATAAGTTGTAAAAGGGGTACATAGATGATGTTCCGCCCCTGCTTGCTCTGTTTCTGCTTGCTTTCTTTTGACTAGTCAAATGATATTCGCCGTCTCTTTTTCTCAGGGTATCAGCAGTGGTATGTCAATCGGGCGAATTGTCTTCCATCTCCCTCATATTACATATTTCTAGTAGCTGTGCTCAGCTGCTAGATATGAACGTTGTTCAACGTAGCCTCCCACTTGTTATTCCCTTGATTAATAAGAGATCGCCTCAGAACAAGTGACTTTATAATTCCCAATTCCTCATCCACTCTCGATTATACTGCTTCATCTCTCCATTTGTCGTTTTTTGTCTCTTTTCTTCAGTTTTTGCCTCTAAATGTTTTGATATGAAACGTTCACGTGCAATCAAGGCATGAATGAACCTTAATCTTATCAGACCGAAGAGCCTCCTTTCTAAAACGAACCCATTAAGGAAGATGTGAAGCAAATATAAGAAGAATGGATAGCATGAAAGGCGGTTGAAATCCTGTCTAGTTGAAGGGTAAGAGAAATAGCGCAAGGTCACATTCACGGGTGATTTGGTTGGGACTCAACGTCATCTGGGAAAGTGCTTGGAGCATCCTCATCACTGTTATCAAAGAAGCCAACAGGCGACCCAGGGCAGGAAAAGAAACATCCTGATTCTGAGCTTGGGCTGTCTTGACAATCTCCTCTGGATATCTGATTTCTAGTGAGCAGGGACGGCATAGAACCAGCCTCGAGCAACTTTTCCGGGCAGATACGAGACTTCGGCTTCGCGGTTTTGACATTGTTGATTGCATCTAGCAGGTTGCCAAACGCAAGGGTTAACTCCTCTGTCAGGTCAGGCCTTTGATGCAGGCGGCTGCTGAAGTCTCCAACGATATAATCCTTGTCCTGCCTCGATCGCAGATGGTCCATACTCGAAATAATTTGCATAGTCTTGACATCCGCGTACAAGGCAACTGCCTGGAGTAAATCCGGTGCCTTTAGACGTGGACAATCCGAATACTCATGCCACCTGTCCAAGATCAAGGACAGGACATTGTGGCTGTTATAAGTGATGGCAGTTGTCAAGGGGGTGGCTCCCTTTATCGAGATGTAGTTGATATCTGCGCCATACTCAAGAAATAGTAACGCGAAGCTAGAGTTATCGGTCCGGGCAGCATGTATTAGAGGTGTGTCTCCGTCTGTACCGCTTGAATCAGGGTCAGCCCCAAAGTCCAGCAGATTCTTCAGCAGAAGGATATCAGTGGCATTGCGGGCTGCTACATTCAGTGGCGAGCCCTTTTTCACCCCTGGGGGCATTGGAGGGTCTGGATGAGCTCCAGCCTCGAGTAACAGCCGAACACATGCCGTGTAGCCTCTCGCAGCTGCATTTGATACCGGCCCGGATATCTGTACATCTATGATGTTTGGGTCGGCTCCGTGGCTTAACAGGGTAACAACAGAATGGCTATCCCCTCGTGCCGCCGCCCAAGCCAATGGAGTCCGACCCATAGAATCCTGAGCATTGATATCTTCCGGATGGAGTTTTATTTCCTCTTCTAAGCTCCGAAGTGACAAACCAAGAACAATACGATGTGTCTGAGTGAAGTTTGACTCGTCGATAAAGTCGTCATAATGGCCACCTCGAGCAATTAGTCGCAATGCATCAGCGCCATCTTCGGGGAGGCCTCCTTCGAGAATAAAGTGGCAGGCCTTTATCCGAGGGCTATTATCCGACGTGGCTATGGGCCTGTAGTCCGGATCTGCACCTGCATGGAGAAGAAACTCGCAAGTGGCATATTTCTTCCCGTAGAGCGCCCAGCGGAGAAGGGTATAGCCTCTTGCAGGACTTACATCTCTGGGAGAAGCCAGGCCATTAGCAAAAAGATACTTTAAACCTTCTATATCCCCAGCCAATGCAAATTTCACACACTGCGCGTCGTCAGGAACGCTTCTAAAAGTCTGCAGTTGGAAAAGGAGACCAGTGTTGGCTTGATACCCTGCCTGCATACGGAGAATGGTTGAGTTAAGTCCCATGGGGAACCAGTATTCCATGCTAATCTTACTCGCACGGTATTTGGTACAGGTATCAACATCGCAGCTCGGTGACAGATAGGGGATCCCCGAGCATCCAATAAACAGTTGTCCTATAACTCGCCCAAAGAGGCCAGGAGAGGCCCTCCGTAACTGTGTATGGCAGGCACACGTACATGCTCGAGCACATCGAACTCGATACGGGGTAGCCGGTCCACTGTAAGTGCTTAACGCACCATCTCTAGGTATAGGGGCTTTCCTTGGATGGGGGGAGTGTCGTCTCGCAGCAACGATATTGTACAGCGGTCCAACCTGGGTGAACTGTTCTTCCTTGACTTTTTGTGCCTGGGAACGTAGCAGCTCTTCAACACGGGCCACCCGCTTGTCTACATGCGAAAGACTGCTGATCAGCTGGCCTTGCAAAGCAATGTTTTCCTGGGAAGATTCCCTAGTAATAATGGATATGGCCTCCAACTGAAGACGCATATCGGTCATATCTTGTCTGAAAGCGAATCAGATCAAAGAAGCACAGATCAAACCAGGCAATAGAGAGTACATACGAGTTCGAAGCACCAAGCATGATGTTCAAATCACATTTGACCGACCTGATTTCCTCCTGCAATCCCTGGAGCCTGGTCTTTTCCTTGCTAAAGGCTCCAAGGGCAAATGGAACCGCAGCATCTCGATACGCCGTTCGCAGTCGGCCTACAATTTCTTGCAGCTCCAACAGCTTGACCTCTGCCTGTTTTACCAGGTGTTGAAGAGACAGCCGGTCACTATCGACTACCGCTGTCCGCCTTTCTGTGAGCGAAGCGAGCTCGAAGAGGACGATCTCCAGATCAGCAACTTCATTGTTCAATGCATGGAGACGCCCAGGAAGGCTGCGGCAAAGAGACCTCAGCTCAGTGAAGGCAGAGCATATCTTGCCGGCGACGGTGCCAACGGCGATGATGCTTGCCGTGACCGAGAGAGGGTCCATCTTTTTATTAAACAGTGGCCAAAGATGAAACCTTCGCAACTGGAATCAGTGCCTGTTCCCACCAGTTATTGCCCACATCCCCTGATCTTATTGGAGCGACAATTCGTGTGTAAACTCCGGGCGAATCACAGACGGCGTTGTCTTTTAAGCGCCAGGGGTGGTCTTAGCGCTGCGGGTAATCCCGGCTGGCCGAGACGCGGGTGTTGACTCAACCTTGCGGTACACAGTATCCACGGGGGGTCCTTTGAACAAGACTGGCTCCTTAACTAACGATAGTCTAAGATCTCGTGCTTTAACTAACTAGTTAACGAAGTGTTTAGTGGTTTGCTATATCCTAGAACCTGCAAAACCAAGGTTGCCATGAAGTTTGAAGAGGAGTTCCTGTCACTTCAGGCCGCAGAATGGAGACCAAACTATCTTCCCTACAGACGGCTGAAAGCTATGCTGAAGTTATTCGCCAAAGGAGGGCATCGGTCGTCATATGAAATTAACCTGAAAGGTACGTTTGACCTTGCGGTTGGTGGAGTGAAAATTTGCGTGTTGTCTGACTTCATGCTAGATTTTATGTCGGCTTTTCGCTGTGCTCTTGGTAAGATAAAGGTGTTTGTAGATACCCAGTTGACTACACTCAAGGGTAAAGAGAGCATTGTATTGGAGCCTTATAAACGAGTCCGTCATGGGGCAGCGTCATTGGCCGTGGATGATGAGTACTTGATATACGGTGAACTCCTTGAAGACTACAACAGGTTACACATGTTCATTAGATTGAACTATGAGGCCTCTCAAAGGATAAATTCTAAAGCCGAAAAATTACAGAGGATATTTCAAACAACACCATATTGTGGACTCGATGGCCTTATTGAGGAGCAAGCAGTTTGTGAAAGGCAGTGTTTGACGGAGGTAGAGAGACTACAAAGAATGATCAGCAGCACGAGGCAAGGCAGCAATGCTCTGTCTACTTACAACTTGATGAGTCTCTCTGAGGAGTGTTCTAATGCCCGGATTCTCCTTACTACTATCAATAATGATATCCTTGCAAACCAATCCATCAATTTGAGCAGTTTATTGGGAAAGCTCCAGCGCACACCAGGTATTTCCAAGGACATAGTCGACGAAGTTTTTAACACATCTTTGACAATGTCAATCATATGCCGGTCTTGGTCATGTACTACAGCTTTAATCGAGGACCACCCTGCAGAGACAAGATCTTTGGTCAATAGTAGCTGGCTCAATGGTCTTCTCTTGGCTATATTCCAACATTCTCGTCTAAACCCAATATCTTCCCATGAAAAGGATGCACAGATGAGAGAGAATTTTGACCCTCAAAACTTATGTATGAAATTGTTTAATCTCATACTCAACCATGCCGGGATAAAGGCCAAGGATCTTTTAATCACCCCGGATGCTGCCGGAGCGATTTCTCTACAATATAGTGCTCAAATTGGACTCCCAGTGATTTGTGACTTCATCATAAAGTATATAGAACAACTGGGAATCTCACCAAAATCGGCCATATTGGCTGCAAATACAACAGGTATAACGCCGCTCCAGTGGTCCGTTGCACGGGGGCATGTTCATGTCACTCGCATATTCCTGGATGCCCTATATGTCGGCATAGATGAGGCCAGCGATAACACACCCAATGACCTGCTAGCTATCGCCATAGAATACCAAAATGACGAGCTAGTCCAGCTTCTAGCTTCCAGGTGTACTATGATCAATCAATTTTCTAGCAATGGAGAGACATGTTTGCATGTCGCTTCCCGGGTTGGTAGGAGGGACTATGTTGATACAATTTTGGAAATTACTTCTCAACAAAATTCGGCAATTGATGTCCAGGAGAAAACGTACGGATGGACACCATTGACTATAGCCAGCACACGAGGATATCTCCCAATAGTTGAAGCTCTCCTTCGCGCTGGTGCAAATGAGCTACTATCTGACTATCAAGGCTGGACAGCAAAGGATCACGCAGCGTTTAGGGGTCATTTTGCAGTTTTGAATAGGCTCAAGACGAACAAGACTATAACACCAACAATCAAAAACCCTTGCATAACTACATCACCTCCTAATCTCATGGGTGATACCGCATATCTAATTGTCAACCTAGGGTCAGTGCAAAAGGGCAGAGAAATCAGCCCCTTTGATTTGGATCATGCTTCAACGATGTCAAGTCAAATGTCACCTGAAAGTGCACTGAGTCTAGAAATTTCCACCTCCGGGGGTCCTGCTCATATACTGAGATTACCCTTTTTAAGGGATCTGGTTGATGATACCTTGATTTTTCCTACTAGCGACCCGCTGGAAACTAATCTTGTGTTTAAACTTCTCAAGAATACTTCACATTCAAGTCTGGGCAATACACTTATTGGCAGCGGTGTAGCTCTTTTATCAAGGAAAAAGGATGCGAATATTTCCCATCATAAGAGCCTGATTAGAGAGAGCACCGTACCGATCTTGGAGAAGGAAACCATGGAGCTGATAGGAAAAATTACATTTACATTTTTCATTGCGACCCCTTTCCTAGATTTGAATACTCGATCCTCAAGTTTTGAGTATCTAGAGAAAACTCGATCAACACAGTTAATTGGACATCGAGGTAAGCCAGCAGCATTTACTCGTATGGCCTTTTCTCACACCCATTCCAGGTTCCGGGCAAAATACTGCAGACCGTGACTATCTTCAGCTAGGGGAGAACACTATTCAAGTAAGAGATACTGCTAATTCAAATAACCTATAGCGTGTTAACCAACTGTCATAGTCATTCACGTCTGCTGCTAACTTAGGGGCGTCTCACGTTGAGGTATGTATTACACACCAGCTTTTTGATCTATGTGAACTTAATTTGCTGATAGCTCTACAGTTTGATGTACAGTTGACAAGAGATCTTATACCAGTTTTGTACCATGACCTGTCTCTAAGCGAGTCAGGAACTGATGTTGCAATCCATGACTTGACATTGAAACAAGTACGCGATCCGTTTTCCTTTATGTCACAACCTCTGACGTATCTAGTTCATCCATGCTAGCGATATGCAATTATCGTCGAAAAATGACGCCGATGATTCCAGATCACGCTCTCGATCTCTGTCTCGAAACCACAAAGCAGCGGAAAACGAAGCCAGATTAAGAATGAAGCATACGTTATACTTTTCTAATAATGGGTACAAACCCAATACACGGGGAGACTTCATTCAAATACCCCTTGCAACTTTAGAAGAGGCTTTGCTTAATGTACCCGAAGAGGTTGGATTTGATATAGAGCTAAGTACGTCATCTCCGCACTATCTTCCTATAAAAGAATGCTTACAATGGCCACGGTAGAATACCCCCGTATCCATGAAGCGCATGCCATTGAGATGGCCCCTATAGCTATCGAACTTAACACATTCGTTGATACGATACTCACTTTGATAACCCGCTACGCCGGCTCTCGCAACATAATACTTTCATCCTTCACCCCTGAAATTTGCATTCTTCTTGCAATCAAACAAAAGGCATACCTCATTTTCTTCATTACAAACGCAGGAAAGCTGCCTGTGGTAGACAAGGAGGAACGAGCCGGAAGTGTTCAAGTTGCTGTCCGCTTTGCAACCAAATGGGGCCTGGCTGGAGTCGTTTTTGCTTCAGATGTGATAGTGATGTGTCCGCTGTTGGTGAACTATGTCAAAATCAAAGGCCTAGTTTGCGCTACTTACGGCCCATTGAATAATATTCCAGAGAATGTCGAGGTGAGCTTATTATATCCATTTTCTTTATTGTTATCCAGTGGTTGGTCTATGAGAATTTACTAATTGCTGACGGCTGGATTGTAGTTACAAGCCAAGTCCGGAGTCGACTTGCTCGTGGCAGACAGGGTTGCCCTAGTATCTAAGACTCTAAAGGGTTTAGAATAATTAAACCATTTAGAATAGTTTTGGTACCGGTAGTCTCCGCTACAAAGAGTGTTGATATCACTGCACAAGTTCACTGAACTCTTGGATAGACTATGGCTAGCCTTAAACAGAAGACATAACTCTTGGGATATACTATGGCCTAGCGGTAATAAAGGGTCAGGGTTATGATAATAAACAGGCTATATCCCTCATTGAAATAAACAAAAAGCGTCTGGATATTAGCTAACTCCTAACTCATATCGAGATATTAAGTAACATAAATCATCTCGGTCAAAAGAAATAGACAGGTTCGGGAAACCCTCTAAGCTTGGCTCTCTCGCGTAACCGCTTTGATGATGGCATCATCCCCCACCATAGTTCATTCAAATCGCCTATAAGAGGTATCTCCCGTGGCTTCTGTCCTCCCAGTAGGTGGTTGAACCCCTTGACTTGACGTGTGAGCCTGGTGGGCGGGGTTATCGCCATTTCAATCTCCGGCCAGAATGTATCGGGAATAATCTCAATAGGAACCTTGAAGACAGACTGATACCAGTTCTTCTCATGATGGGGATCGTAGGGGTCATACGGCTCCTCCTCATCGTCCCCATGGGGATTCTCTTCGGTTGATTCCATGACGACAAGTAGGAATGGCGCATCATCACGCCAATGAAACGAATCGAGGTTTGGGAGCGGGCCAGACAGAACTGAATCCACAGACTCGGAGCAAGTAGATAGGAAGAGGTCATAGCCCATACCGGCTGGCACAGCCCCCTTGACCTTTCTATACCATTCACGAAGAGTGTCCTCGTTGGCGCCGTCGAGATCTTTGTCTTCAATCCAATGAAGGATAAAATTCTTCCGTGCTAACGCAACCTCCTCGTACTCATGCCCTCTATGGTTCTCCACTACACGGTCGAAGGCGATATTCAAGGTTTTCTGGGTTCGATCCTTGAATTCCACCCACATCTCCTCGTTATCGTAGAGGGCGGTACGGAATGCAACAAATCCCCAAGAGTGGCCATTGGAGTATCGCTGCCGTGATAATTTGAGGTATTCCGGTGCTTTATATTCGGGTGGAGGAACACCCGCATCCCGCAGCTGCTGGTCCTGACGTCTCTGATACTTTCGCCTCCTGTAGACTGACAACCTGCTAGCTCCCTCTTCCCCGAGTACTTCCTTCAAACCGTTGAACATCCTGATTTTTTCGTCCTCGGATAGAGCGGCAAGATTCGCCTCGGGGTCACTCAGACGTGCCCAATTCCATCCTTCAGGCCAATATGTGCTGGAAGCATCCGAGAACGGCTCATCATTATCGTCTGAAGGGCGGGTTTTGCTGTCAAGAGTCTGGGGTATATCTGTTGCCATGTTGATATGCACCTCCTGGCCACGGAACATATTCAAATTGAGGTTGAAAGTTCATCGATGTTGCTGCCTGGCCGCTTGGCTCGTTAAATAACTAGCTAGTTAACTAGTAAAAGGTATAAATATCACTGCCTAGCCCATAGGATTTCATAGCATAACCTCTTACACTTCCATTATTCTTGAGTTTTCAGGTCCATAGCTTTGCGGAGTTTTCTGCATTATGACAGCTCTTCAGAAGATCCAAGTTCGGTCCAAGAGGGATGACTGTAAGAGATGTCACCCACCCCGAGTCATTCTTTTCTAATATGATCTAGCTCTTCTGCTGGACTGTTCGTGGTCTTTTCTCCGGTCACCACCGGCCGGGAGTACCTGGCAGTCCATAGACATTATCTTCTATCATTCAGCTTCGTCTAATATCAATATTGCTCTGGATAATTTTGATGATATCTATGTCCTATCTGATTGTGCAAATTCATCTCAAGAAATTCTCTCCGAATGTCTTGGTTCAACAAAAGCGTTGCAATTCATCTTGCAATGCCTTCTCACTACAGTGACCTCTCAGGGCCATATATGTTTGGCAAAACTCATCTTTCCCCAACAAGAGGGGTATATTGTGCGCTCTGATATCGTCCCCTTGCGCCTTCGGGATTACCAACATGTTGAAACAGCAGTCTCTTTTGCAGAGCCACTTAGGATATTTGAAAAGAGTGTAGCTCTGGATGGAGATAAAATAAACAGTCTCTCAGAGCTTTTCTCAGCTGCTGCTGCTGGACTTATTCTTAATTTGAACCTAGAATGTGAGGAGAATATGGGATTGGAAGCAATCTCGTTGCTTGTTGAGTCAGAACTTGAGAACAGATTGTCCCTCTCATGGATACTACCGGGAACTACGCACCGCAAAACACTCGTCCTTGTTGACGCAAATACTGATCATCCTGACCGAGGCGGTACTGGATCTGGCTTCTATCTTGCGGCCATGGAAGTTGGAGTTAATATTGTGGTCATGGATAACGCTGGACACTGGCTTCAGGGGCCCGACTATGCTCACTGGCGCGAGGCCTTTATTCCCACCAGATTGACCAACCCAGTCGAGGAGAACTTAGCTGACCACATCACGGAATCGTTAAAAGCATACGGCAAGCCAGTGGATGGCATAGTCACTTTTGCTGACACATACTGGCCGTATATCGCCAAAGTTGCACAGCAGTTTGGGTTGCCAACTTGTGCACCTGAGGGGTTTAAAATAGCCACAAACAAGTACCTAACAAGCAAGTTTGTTGGTCATAATGCTCATCTTGCATGTAGCGTTGATGAAGCTCTTGATATTGCCAACAAGCAAGACCTTCAGTACCCACTCATTGTGAAGCCATGTGACGGATGGAGCTCAGAAGGAGTTTCTCGCGTTGATTCACAGGAAGCCCTGGCTCTAGCCATTAAGTCAATCGATGCATCCCGCCACGGAACCGGATTTGTTATGGAACCATACTGTTCAGGTCCAGAATTCGACGCTAATTTTGTCTTACTAGACGGAGAAGTCCTTTTCTCTGAAATATGTGATGACTTGCCCAAGTCAGCGGATATCAATGGCCCCAATGGACGAATAATTACTAATTTCCATGAGTTGGATATCGTATACCCTTCTGCGTTACCATCCCTGGAGAAGGACGAGATAAAGAGCGCATTCTTGGACACTCTGCTCAAGCTAGGCTTAAAAAATGGCATTATGCACCTTGAAGGTCGAGTTGAGAACTCATCGGTTGAGTATACCTCTATGGATGGTGCTCTCGAGTTGACGCCCCTTGATGGTAAATCTATAAATCGAAAGCCAAGCCCCTGGCTTATAGAAATTAACCCACGCCCACCAGGCATGACAGCTTCTCAGATAACTGAATCCACGTATGGTATTGAATACTGGGCCATAGCTGTGCTTAGTGCTGTGGGCGATAAGGCTCGAGTACGCGCTCTATCACAGCCCTTCAAGCACGGAGCCCAATATACTAGTGTCATGGTCTTTGTTCCTGCCGATTATCCGTCTACTTGCGAGGGTATATTTGACTCGGACGACATCTGTGCCGACTTGATAGCACGAAGGCCAGATCTAGCTAAAAATATCAGCCGGTGTGCATGCTTCATTAAACGGGGCCAGAAGGTGCCGCATCCAAACTCCGGTCAAAATACTTTTATGGCCTATTTCAATGTCTTTTCAAGATTGGGGAGAAAAGAAGCGCTCGATATAGCTCGGAAAGTTAGGAAAGAGATCCATTATTCATTTATTTGAAATTGGGACGTTCCTGTTATTTGTTATCTGGGAGTTAGAATAAGGGATAATTTCTTGTCAACCAAGGGTAAAATGCAGCCTTGTTTCGGTTAGACCCTTCGGCCAAAATAACCCATGACTGGGTGCCTTAAGAAATGATTCAACATCCGTATGGCATGCATTGTGATTAGTTTCTCCTATATAAAATAAATGTTTAGTTAGCAAATTATCTAGACAAGTTATTTTAACACTATCGTTCGAACTCTGATAACTCTATATTAATTTCCAATGAGGTCATGGTAGCCGCGAAGAGAACAGTAGCCCACATACTGGTTGTCAACGAAGAGAATAGGCGCTGTATGTAGGGTGTGCTCGACGTGTACATCCGATACTACCCCGGACAGAGGTATCTTCACTTTAAAGCGCCATCATTGTGGGATTATATGTGTATCACAGCCTGGAAAGGACTAATTTATAGTACATATGTCACATATGTAGCTATTATAAGACCTGGAACAAAAAGCTCTGTACTTTGGATGATAAAGAATAGTAATGAACCATGGGTATAGATGCACATAGATGCACAGGGGGTTTAGCCGTTTCTTTGTTTCGAAGTATGTGGCCACACAAACACCAAGAATACATTCCCCATACATTCCCCGGACCTGCTCCACAGCAAAAAAAAAGTCAGACTGATTGTCCCTTGTGGCCGAGTCATAGTTTCAGGGGCAGTTATGACTAGATAGATAAATGCTGAGTGTTTTGAGAACTCTGATAATTAGTTACTCTGTACGGAGTACGGCAAGAGATAATATTGAGACCAAAAAAAAAAAAAAAAAAAAAAAAAAAAAAAAAAAAAAAAAAAAAAAAAAGACCCAGTGGTGCAGTCTCATTGGAATTAAAATGCACTTCCTGATGTCAAACTGATCTCTCGCCAGAAGATATCGACAGAGCTTCGCGAAGTTTGTGCCCATATTTGTTTCCCTTGTTTGAGATGTCAGCCTGGAGTCGTTGTTTGCGACGTTTAACTAGCGAGTTAGCGCCAAGACTACAACTTGGTAGCCGCGGTGGCATTTTAAGTTTCATAGTTGGAGCTAAAGTTTAACGTTCCTATTGGACAATTAACGACTTGCCTAATTTAGTTAGATTTAGTTAGTTTCTTCCCCTGACAAACTCTCCATATATTTTCATATTTCTATGTTCTTCCGTCAACAACTCCATATGCCATTATCCTCATCGATTCCGCCACTCAGGGCTGTACAGTATAAGTTTTGCTCGGTCAGCAGATATAGCAGGCTTTATTACGTTCGTTTAACCATTACGAGGTAATCCGTGGGAATGTAGGTTCCAGGGAAAAAAAGGGGGTGCGAGGTGTTGCATTTCAAATTCATACCAAGATCCCTCGAGGGCATGGATATCTAGATGTTGCTTGGGAGGCTGTTCTAATGGATGCTTCGTTATTTGGTATTTTCATCTCAGTGATATATACCACTTCACGCCGTGGCTCCGCACATCATGAGACATCACGTACATTAACAGTCCTTATTTTGGCTGTCAGCCTGATTTATCCTGATGGGAGCAAAGCCATGACGCCAAATACTGAGAACTACCCTTCCTCCCATCGGCGACACTATCACCTACTATTCATATCGGCACAACTGGCCACTGCCATGTATCGACTAACTAAATATACATATCTGGACGCCGTATCTGTCCATGGATCACTAGCACTACCACCGGGCGCCGGAGGGCCTTCTCCCGGCTTTTACAGGTACAATTAGAACCCTATTTTGAGTTCTCGTCTGGGGGGCTATTCATGTCTGTCTAGGGAACTCATCCGAAGTCATAGTGCAGTTGAATTCCTGATGACAAAGTGTGTGCGGTTTAGGTACTAACTAACAACCATGATAGTCAACTTGGCAGAGACAACTAATACTCTTTCGACGAATAAGTCCAATTTCACTCTTTTATTCTTTTATATACCAACAGCCGCTCAGTTACCAAGACTGGGTCTTTTATAACAAGATCATCGTTGGCGAATCTAGCTACGTCAGCCCTACAGTAAGTTGACCAGCTACAGAGCTTAGGAAACTCGCAGAGTTTCCTTGCAAGCTTAATTTTGCCCAGAGACTATGTATGTGAACCCTTGCAAAACCTTCAAGATGAAAGCCAGATGCTGGCGTGACATCCCGAGACAAACTCGGTGCGGACCTCATTCGCCTTTGCAAGTTCACTTGAAAATGCGACTAACTGCCCAGAGAAATTATACAAAACTACTTCAAACGCCGCTACGGGGACAGCCATCGATGGACCAATATAGGGATAGAGACTCCAATGAGATGTCCGGCTACACAGATGCTAGACGGCAGAATTGGAGAGATATATTAGTGGTAAAAGAGATCAGATATCGCATTACAGTCCCATCATTCAGGTTGAAGAGAATAGATGGTTCAAAAAAAAAAAAAAAAAAAAAAAAAAAAAAAAAAAAAAAAAAAAAAAAAAAAAAGGCTTACCGACCATGGCTGTCTAGACTTCTGGCCGATGGAAAAATCAATCCCAGAGAAACGGTAGGTAGCTGACAATGAAGTGGCCCAAGGACAGTGTATCTACGATAACTGGCGGCTCAACAGCTTTCTAGAACCTTGGTTGAAGCGTTGCCAGTAATTGAACAAGTTAAGCTGTGCCGTGAGCCAGCTGAAATGATCATTCCACCCTTCAGATCTGCAGCAGGCGCCAAACCAACTAATTTAAATGGATAACTGTGCAAGAGAGCATGCTCGCAAGTGTGTTTCCACTACAACTCAGTCGCCAGCGTCGGTAGATGCCTATGAGAAGCAGAACTATAGTTATTTCAATGCATTGATGTATTTTAGTTTCATTTCATCAGGCAGGTAAGTGGGAAACCAATAAGGAAAACATTCAATTATTCTATAATTCTAGATCTACTCCAGGTGACTACAACCGCCTACTGGGCTCTCGGTTTGTTAAATGTATACATACATTCTCCCATTTTAATAAATTATAGATATCTTCCATCTGGAAGTTGTTCCTAGTAACTAACTACTACTTGGTTAGTTTTTACTCTGGGAAGCTAGTTAACCAGTCATAGCTATGTCCTCTGTGGAATCACATACCAACAAATATACAAACGAGGCCACAAAAGAAAGGAGAGAATAATAGGGCAGCAGCCCGGAAGTTACGACAAGGTAACTCTGTGGGATCTCCAAGCGTAGATCCGGAGTGGTACCGCCGTTCTCTCTTTGTTCAAGCAGCCGTGGCTTGTATACCAGCGACGGGCAACAATAAACAAGGAATACAACGAGTGCTCTTCCTTTGTCAACTCCAACGCCCGTTTGATGAGCTGTGTTATGATTGATGACTCGATGTGATGCTGGTCCAGATTAACCGAACAGGGACAGTGATGCGCTCTCTGAACTTGGCCCCTGGCCTGCACCCGCGCGTCCCCATGGCCGGGGGGATGAGGAGGTCTCTGACTTTCCTGCTTTTTTACCCCTGCTCCCATCCCTTGCGCATGATGGAGATTGGCCCGCAGAACGCATGCATCTTCGGAGCATCCCAGGAAGGACAAAAGCGCCTTGTCCTGGCCTATTACCCTACCCCCTCCCACCCTTTGACGTACTCCGTGCTCCGTATGTAGTCGTATCGAGCTGGAAAAGAAAAAGGTGAAGAAGACATGGAAGAAAAAGAAGCGAGTATCCTGGCCCTGATTAGTTCCTTTTCTGTCATTGTTACCGATCCCTACCGCAGGCCTTGGTCGTTTTTGTCCTCCTTTCGTACCTGTCTTTTCGTCCCTTCTCAGCCTCTGACTCGTCGCTGTCTTCTGGAGCTTCCGGGGATCTCTCTGCTGCCATCTTCCACCACAGGACCACAGAGTAAACTTGTCTCATATTCACTCGTTTGACCTTCTCCATCTCCGAGTCTTTCGTTCAACGCGCCCTCTTCTTCCCCACCACGGTGCAGACTGCTAAACCCTGCTGCCGATAAGAAACTAGCCCTCTGCTAGCCTGTGAATACGACCAGATACGCACTGCTTTCAGGCCCTGAGACTGTTCTCTCCTCATATCTTCTTTCTTCGTTTGGCCCTCTGCGGACAGCAAGCGAGTGCACCAGCAGCTCTTTTGTGCGCTCCAGGCTCTCGCTCTCTCTCGATGTGATGACGGCCGGTCAAGATGGCTCCCCGTAACTACTCAGAGTTGGGCAGGTCCCTCGGCCTGCTGGGAGATCAATTGCCATGGTACTGGAAAGTTGTCTCCGTCGGCTCAGCGTGGTCTCTGTTGACCGGGTATGTGATGTGTTTTCTTTTCGTTCTGATCGCTGCTGCTGTTGAAGTTGAGGTCGAGGTTGAAGTTGAGTTTGCCTCCTTTTGGCCGGAGCCAGCGAATGCTAACGACATCCGCTTCTTCTGCCGCGATGTAGCTTCATCCTCTTCCCCTTCGCCATGGAGCCAAACGGCGCGGAGCTGGGAGCGAACAAGAATGCGCTCCTGGGAACCGCCGTCATCCTCCTTACGCTTGCATACCTTCTCAGCGCGCTCTACTACGTGCGGTGGCGCAGGAGTATCTACCTCTTCAACTCTCTCTTCTTGTATGGGCTCCTACGTATAAATCCATTGCTGGTAATTGATGTCATGCAACATCACGCTGACTATATGTACATACAGTGCCTGTTTTACATCTTCCATCCTAGGAATGTTTAATGTTGTTATCAATATCCTGGTGCGCAAACTGCTGCCAATGAACATGCTGTCCACCATTATCGTGGCCATCTCTTGCGTTTCGACAGCTGCCTATGGGCTCCTGGCCTTCTACTTCTCCGACTACTGGCTGACCGTGACCTGTTCACGGCAGCGAAGACGAGCGCGAACTCGAGCTGCCAGTGAAGTGGCTCCCGATGACGCAGAGCTGCAGAGGAGACAGCTTTTGCGCCTCTATCTACGTCCCGATAGGGCTCCAAGCGTGGAACTATCGCAGAGTACATTCCGCATAGACCTTCCCGATCCCCAGTCCATCGCTGGCACAGAAGAGGAGATGCTCGTCACTCCTCCGCAGAATGCATACGAGCGATCTCTGCATTCTGTCTCTGCCCCAAGCAACTACCCTTCCGAAGTGCATTCAAGCCCAACTTCGGCTTACAAGCTGAATCCTCTTCGATACTGGCAGCCCCAGCGCAGCCACCGAGACCAAATGCGCCCCCTAGCAGAGTTGATCAGCTAGGATGGGCCGCCGCATTCACTTATAACGCTGCATGAGCGAAACGAACATTTCTACTGCCGGGGAGACTGCTATGTTTCCAGTTACCCGGAACCATGTACTACCAGATATTCAACCTTCTTTATTTCTTCTCTACACTCGGTTAACTACTTTCTATCAAATACACTGCAGAAAGAGGATAGGGGCAACCAGCGTACTACTACGGGGCGGATCTCAATTATTCTTCCACTTCAACCGGCATCACCCGATCGGAGCTTACATGGAACGGAGTCTTCCCAATTCGTCTTTCTTCATCAATTTTACACTCTAACCATACATCCTAGGCACGGTTAGCTATTTTCCTTCTCCATCTATACTTATACTTGGATTTCATTTGTCGGCGGGCAACGGAGGGGCCTAGTGGCACCATTCTCTAATCATGTGGAATTATGGATATCAGGACTATACGGCTTTTATTTCGAATGTGAAGATTATTAGATGAATATGGATAGGTGTATTATTTTCCTTTTGCTTTTGAATATATATCTACCAATTCCCATTCCATCCCCCCTTACCAAACGTGTTCATTACGGGTAGCCAATTCGCCTCCATGCTATTATCCTGCCGTATTACTACAGGCCACAAGTCACCAACAGTTACTTATATAGATGCAACGCACCGTTTCCTCACCACTCGGCGCTGCACAACAGGAAACCCCAAAGGTGTGAGATGCAGAGGCCGGGCGCAAAATCGGAATCAATCAGATTATCCTGCTAAAACCAGCGAGTGTCTTGGATCTCTGGATTGCAGGGAGGGAAAAGCTTTCACTCAGCTATTTAATTGACAAACCTGACGCTGGATATTTAGATGTTGGTAAGGAGGCGGTAGAGAGACAGATCACTCATTGTGTACATATTCCCGTCCTACTGTAACTACTATCCGCCGTCTCACAATATCCTCCCGTCTAACTACTATACACAGTTAATGGTCGTATATTATGAAGAGCGAAACAAACACCTTTAATCTAGTCGTCCAGATAGACAGAGGGGCACCGGCAATCGGCTCGATGGCTACAGGAAGCTAACCAGCTCTGCAGTGAGCTAACTGGTCAACCAGCTAATGAACTAGTTAGTTAATTTACCATTTTTGCCGAAATGCCGAAGATTGAAATGAACTGCAGAGTAGAATACAATAATAGTACTACTTTTATTTCCTGTGCTAAGTCTGAGAAATCCCTCAAGCTTTCCCAGCATCTTCCTTTAGTGTAACTATTCTATTAAGTACGATCTTCTCGGGTGTGCTTGTTGTGTCCTCGCAGAAGTATGCTACACGCATACCCTGGAACCGGACTGAGGCAGGGGATGGTTTATCGGTAGTTGACTCTCCCTTGTTAGCTGGCCAGGGAGCTCTCTGTTTTACTTCATGGAAGCCGGTCTCGATGATTGCATTGGGGAGAATCTCTTCAGAGTCTGGGTTTATATCGGCCAAGAAGCCATCGGGATGACCAGCGGGGTTCGCTGATTTGAAAAGAGGGTTGAAGTTATGTACTTCGACATTGACAGGGCTGTTGTGAACGGGAGATAGAGCAACCCATTGGATATATCTATGATTAGGGGTTAGCTTTCTGGGCTACGGAGCTTTCTGAAAGGAAGTCAACTTACGCTTTGGGTTTCTTGAACTTCTCATCTCCTTCGGGTTTATCGTATTTCGCGTGAATCAACGTAACGAGACCCGTGTTTGGATCTTTTTCGAAAGATGTAGCGGTGATAGGGAAGGGAACCTTTAGTAGACCGACGGACCCACCAGGAGCCAATCTGAAAAAGTTGTCCGAGGCCTCTTCTCTGAAGTCGCTGCGATCAATGTAGACGGTCTTGGTAAATGGTACAGTGTGAGACTAGATAGGTGTCAGCAACTGTGGTAAAACTGGCATACAAATGCATGATTCCGCGAATACTTACCCCATGGCTAGGGTCTTTTGAGAAAGGCAGGTCAATCATCTCCACATAGTCGTCTGGGAGGTTGTCAATGACAACAGGGATGGGATCCAACACAAGCATAAGCCTAGGAACCGTTGACTCTAGGTATGATCGCACAGACTGCTCTAGGCGCTTAACGTCAATTGTCGTCTTGGCCTTTGTAACACCGAGTTCTTTTACAAAGGACAAGATAGCCTGGGGAGGAATTCCACGTCGGCGAAGACCAACGAGAGTGAAGAGGCGAGGATCATCCCATCCCTTGACGTATTTTCCCCGGTTACATCCCTTTGGCTCGTTGCCTTCAATGAGCTCAACTAGCTTCCGCTTCGACATGATAGTGCCGTTGATATTTAGGCGACCGTACCTGCGCATACGTTAGAAAAGCCTGAATTTCCCAATGTGCAGTTGTCGCCGGAAAAGAATACATACTCTCTCTGCATTGGCTTGTAGATGTCGAGCTCATTAACTACCCAATCGTATGATTCACGCGACAGTTCAAACTCCGTGGTGCACAGCGAGTGGGTGATGTTTTCAAAACTATCGCACACACAGTGGCAGTATTCATATGTTGGGTATATCTTCCACTTGTCACCGGTCTGCAAATGCTTTGCGAAATTACCGTCATCCGTTTCGACTACTCGGTATGCGAAAAGATCCCACATCTGAGGGTTAGGGTTCTCTAAATCCTGCTTCAAACGGAGGGCTGCCTCCCGAGCTCGATATTTCCCATCACGCATTGCACGGAACTCGGCAAGAGATTCTGAAGTAGGACGGTCACGATGAGCACAAGCAAATCTTTCGTTTCCCTTTTTATCCGAGGTCTCGTCTGCACCGCGCTGGGCCTTGATCTCGCTGTCTAATCAAACGTGTTAGCGTGAGGTTCTAGCAATAATCTCAGTACCCTCCATACCTGTACAATGGCAGACATATGCCTTGTCCTTCAAGATCAACTTCTCCGCTAGTTCGTACAACTGATCAAAATAATCACTTGTGTGTGTGATCTTTACTGGAGTGAAACCAAGCCAGCTGACAATGTCTTTGATGCTCTCGACGTAACGCTCCTCCTCGCCTTTCGGGTTCGAATCGTCAAAACGCAAGTAGCATATTCCACCGTAGTATCTGGCAAATTCGAAGTTGACAGTCATGGCCTTGCTGTGGCCGATGTGGAGATAGCCATTTGGCTCCGGGGGGAATCGCGTTACGACCTGTTTGTTGACTGTACTCTCGAGGGGCCGTTCCTTGTACACGTCGGCAAGGAACCCGACCTTGAACATCGCATCGGGGTCATTGGGAGCTGGAGCAGCACGCTTGGATTCAGATTTTTCGGGTTTTGGCTTCTTCTCTTTCGGTTTCTTCTCCTTGGGCTTTTTCTCTTTTGGTGGCTTCTGCTCTGCGGCAGGTTTCTGGTCTTCGGCGGGCTGGCTCTCCTCCACCGGCTTAGGACGAGCTGGCAGCTCCGTTGGCGTCTCCATCCTTTCGTCCTTAGCAGTCAAATATCCTCGGCTTCAAAATAAGACCAACGTGGCAGCAAGAAGGGAGTCTCCTAAAGGGCATGCGGAATCGTGAGCGCCAGAAGGTCGACGGTCTACTTGATAATCATGACTCCCACTAGAAAACTAGAAAGTCCCCCGCCAAAAAGGCCTGCAGCTTTCTTACGTAATAACTTAATATTTGATCACGTGGTAGTATTAGCCGCAATTCATTCTTATTAATTCTTAGCGATAGGCGAAATAAAATAAAACGAAATAAAATAAAACGAAACAAAATAAAACGAAACAAAATAAAAATACAAGATAAGACGGCACCATAGCTAATAGCTACCGGCGGTGGTGGTAGCTGCGGGCGAGGCTAGCCAATAACAATCTCAGCTAGTCTCAATGTCTCCGGGAATCTAGGTGGAGTTGTTAGTGAACACATTCAACGAGTATCTGCCCAGAATCACCGCCGTCTTCCTGCCCAGGTCACTCTCTCCTCTAGAATTCTTTCACTCTTTCTTGTTAATGTCCCTTCTCCAGGTTTCTCCCTTGCTGTGTCTTCCCAAGGCCGTCCATCTTTACTGCTCTCTTAGAGTACTAGAGATAAGACGAGCCCCCCCAGGTTAATAAAGGTGTCTCGTGGGCCAAAGGTGAGAAATGAGTATGCCTTGAAGGGAAACGGTACCTAGGGTGTATAGATTATTATCCGTGGACGATGTTGATACCCAAAATACCTTTACAGGAACTAATTGTCAAGCCTTTCTCAGTCTCAATCGAATATCTAGTTATACCATGGTGCATTTAATGCTTGAACCTCAGAATTCCTTTTACCGGATATTGGAACTACCACCTACTGAATACGGAATATATTCTCTTGGATAAATATATTAGGATTTAGTTCTCGGAGTTGCTTTTACACAATCCCATCCTAACTCTGAGATGATTTTGATATTTTGGTCCTCGACTATCTCAGGCTACGCTGAACAGAAGAGAAGCAAATCACATCAAACAGACCGAAAGGTTTAATATCCATCCAGTCTGAGACTTGAGCTCTGGGGCAAACTACACCTCGCCCACCAGACTATGATGGTCTGTTTCGGTATGCAGCTGATGGCTCCCTTGCATATGGCCAACGCTTGACACAAGATATCATGGTCAACCACCCTCCGGGGCTATCTATATAAATATCATTTACCTAACGTGCTACCCATTGATGGCCAGTGCTCATGAATGTCCCTCACAATACAATGATTGACGAACAGAACAACACCACAGGGGTACTACGCTGTGAAACTATCAGTGAGTATACAGTATTATACTGTGAAGATGCACAGGTTTCAAGGCCTATATTCTGGGATAACTAACCACTGTGGATGGACTGAATTGTACTGGGAAGAGATTATCTCTATACAAGAGTCCCTGCAAAATACTTTGTCAAGCTGCTGAACCAAAAGTGAACCCGCTGGTCGGTGGCAGAGAGAGTAGCTATAGTACTATATAGCTTTAGCATATTTCCAGAGCTAACCTCGTGGAAACGCTCGAATAATAGTCGATGTCACTAAAAATAAATTTC